TCTGGTCACCTCAAACTATAACCACCTCTTTACATTCAGACCCATTGCACGTGTTTTTAGTGATAGGGGAGACAGGAGCACCCGGATGAAACCTAAGCAGACACAGAGAGGACATGCAAACTACACACAGAAAGTCTGGAGTTGGAATCGAACCCAGGACCACAAGTGCTAATTGAAAATACATCTACTACTACTACCAATAAAAATAAATAATAAATAAAAGTAAAAAAAAAAAGATGCCTTGTAATACATTACAAATGAATGAAAACAAAAATTAAGGTAAATCATTTTAATTAATTTTAAAAGCATGAGCTGTGTCTCTTGTGAATCATTGTAGTTTAGTCTAAGTTACAATTACTAATATATCGCCGAACTGGAGGAAGTGTGTGCTGATAGGGAAGTCTGGACGTCTCTGCTTAGACTAGTTAATAGCCGGTTGGAGTCGAGCTGCAGATCCTAAACCTTTACAAATATACAGTCAATTTTTTCACCATCTGAAGATACATATATTTTTTTGACCCACATTATTTCTGTAAATCTCTCTCCCTCTGGTTGCCCTCCCTCTGGACGCCCTCCCTCTGGTCTCTCTCCCTCTTTAGTCTCCCTCACCTTCCACAAGCTTCTCACAATAGTGTACCCGGAATTCCCATTCCTCTTGACAGAACTGGTTAATTTCAATGTGTTTTTGCTCAGTCTCTCCAAAACGTAAAAGTTGTCTCTTTGCCACTACTTTGAACGAATATTACAAAGACCTATTTCCAGCATATCTTACTTTCCTGTGATCTCTATGCTACACATGGTAGATGTGTAGTCGCTGGATGACTATTATTGAAGCATGTGTTATCACTCAATGGCCATTAATTGATCTGGTCTATAAACGTTTGTGTATCAATTTATTATTTCTTTAATACATGGTACCAAGCCAAATCTTTCAGTCTCCTGCCAAAGAGCCTAATCAAATGCTGCTTTTCCATAGTCACAGTACGGCACGGCCGTGTGGGTGCTTTTCCATTAAAAAGGGTACCTCCAAGTATCTCCTCAGCGTGGGATGGATGGGTTGTCAGACCATAATAAGGGGCGCATAACTGGTAACATTGGTCCGTCTGATGCGTCACTTTTTGTCATTTGAAATTATTTCAATTCCATACATAACTTAGATTTACAATATACATTTTAAATAACTTAGATTTACAATATACATTTTAAATAACTAAGTATCAACTTGAGTGAGAAGAAGTAAAAAAGTAATATATGATAAAAATCATTGGCCTAAACATTTATTTTGCCCTTGTGCTTTGGAGTTGATCCCATCTTTACCAACTGGATTTACAATTACCTCACTCTGAGGTCTCAGTATGTCAGGTTAGGGAAGAGCGTGTCTGGGACTGTTCTAAGCAATACGGGAGCACCACAGGGTACCGTTCTGGCTCCCTTCCTCTTCACAATTTACACTGCAGACTTTGCACACAACCCTGCTACATGCCATGTACAAAAATACTCAGTGGCATGTGTGAAGGGGGGGATGAGGCAGAGTACAGGGAGGTGGTGGCTGCCTTCTCAGACTGGAGTGAGAGAAATGGAATGATTCTCAATGCGTCCAAGACCAAGGAGATGATAATCAACTTTCACAAGAGCCCTTTCACAGGAGCTTCCCATCTACCGGTCACAGTAAATGGACAGGATATCGAAGTGATATCCTGTCACTCCTATAAATATCTGGGAGTCCACCTGGACCACAGACTGGACTGGTCAAGTCCAAGAAAGGTCAGAACAGACTTTTCTTTCTGAGTAGACTGAGGTCCTTTGATGTGAGCAGTCAAAAGTTGCACATTTTTCACCAGTAGCTAGTGCTGTGTTCTTTGGGGTTGCGTGTTGGGGCAGCAGTCTGACCTCGAGAGAGAGTAACCGGCTCGACAGGCTGATCAGGAAATATGTCTCTGTGATGGGGAGAAGTGTGGACTCTGTGGGAACTGTGATGGAGAGAAGGATGAGGGCTCTAATGCAGGGCATCCTGAGTAACTCCAGACACCCTCTGCATTACACTATGGCACAGGCTCCTATCACTACGCTTCCGAACGGAAAGTTTCAAGAGATCCTTTGTTCCTTCGGCTGTCAGACTGTACAACAAACCTGACTGACTGTACAACAACAAAAAAGAGTCTTCTGCTGCTGGACACCTGAATTTCTCCTACGGGGGAACAATAAAGTATCTATCTATCTATCTATCTATCTACCTAACTACCTATCTATCCATCCCTGAAAACCTTCTCGTTCCGTGTTGTGCCATTGTGCTGCCTTTGAATTTTTTCTTCGGCCTAAAGGGAGAAGAGGATGTTGACTTTTCGGGGTTTCTGCGCGATTCCATTTCTCTCGAGTGAGGAGGACGTATTATAGCCTATTATAGATCCATGGCAGTGCAGCCGGTTTTAAAGATGGCGGGGTTGAGTTGTTTTTACCATAGGGTTGGACGTTGCTTCCAGTGACGACACTCGTTGGCCAATCAGTGTAAGGCAGTCGGCTGACGTCACGTTATGGTATCGCTTTGGCTCGCTTGGAACCACTGTCGAGGTGGTATGAAAAAAGTACAATATCCCAAGCCTAACCCTAGTGGAAATGCAAAATAACCACGCCGTACCGTTACTGTGGAAAAGCGGCAAAAGCCATTACTTTCCTATAACACATTACTTACCTTGTCGTAACATTATCTTGCATTTTGGTCATTTATTACTACTTAGCTTAGTAATTATCTTATGACACAGGTGTAAATTTAAACTTCCACTTTAGCAGAGGAGCATCAAGGGGAAATTTCGAAGAGAAATGACAAAAAAGCCCACGCACAGGAGAAGAAGTCTTTAATGCAAACAGGAAAGAAGGAACCCCAACATCCAGAGACACGTGCAGGAAATCAGTTTATTCAGTCAAGCAAAGGAGAAGGAGGTAACAAGTGCAATAATAATACAGACATTAGACAAGTTTACACAGTAGGAAAAGCACCAAAGAGCTGAGAATCAAAGCTGTCATCTTTTGTATATCACTAAGAAAGATCCCTGGGAGTCACTATTTGACTTTTTGGGCTGAGAGCTGATTGGCTGAGTGAGAGTGGTCTGTCTGAAAAAGATGATCTAAAAGATCATCTTTTTGACAAAGTACCTGAAAACTGTGCTTTATTAATAAAGATTACTTACTTACATACTTTATCTGACAGAAAAGTGAAAGAGGCCAAAGATACATGTAAACTAATAATAAACAAGGATTGTATTAAATGGTTTGTTTTCTAGATGTTTATAAAGTTAGGTGCAGCTTTAACTCTTTCTGGTCCCATTCCCATAAATTATGTATTATTATCTATCACTATTTGAGATACAAAAATATTTCTTTATATGTATAGCATTTATTTTGATTCTCGTTTTGATTCTAAGCCCTCAAAAAACCCAAGCAAAGACCCAGTGTAAAGTAAGTGAAAAATATTGCATTTTAATGACAATATTAGGGAAGGACATTCTGGTAGAAGGACAACAATTAGAACAAGAAAATACAGCCAACTTAATGAAATGTGTCGTTTGTAAAATATGGCTTGCTCCTTATATAAATTGTTACCAAATGTTAGCTTTGTAAAAGCAGGTGAAGAGAGGCTGGAATCACTAGGATAAATGTGAACTAGGATCATTAGATAGTACACATTATTAGAAAACACACAATATATCAGAATAATGTACATTTCTCCATATTATAATAATGTAATTCTGGGGTTATTAGGCACTGCCTTTGGTCTCTGGTCTCCCTCTCTCTCTGGTCTCTCTCCCTCTCGTATCCCTCTATCTCTCTCTCTGGTCTCACTCAGGTCTCGCTCTGGTGTATCTCTCTCTGGTCTCCCTCTCTCTCTCTGGTTTCTCTATTTTTCTCTCTCTCTCTGGTGTATCTCTCTCTGGTGTATCTCTCTCTGGTGTATCTCTCTCTGGTCTCTCGCTCTCTGGTCTCTCGCTCTCTGGTCTCTCGCTCTCTGGTCTCTCGCTCTCTGGTCTCTCGCTCTCTGGTCTCTCGCTCTCTGGTCTCTCGCTCTCTGGTCTCTCGCTCTCTGGTCTCTCGCTCTCTGGTCTCTCGCTCTCTGGTCTCTCGCTCTCTGGTCTCTCGCTCTCTGGTCTCTCGCTCTCTGGTCTCTCGCTCTCTGGTCTCTCGCTTTCTGATCTCTCGCTCTCTGGTCTCCCTCTCTCGCTTAAGGTTATGGTTAGGCTATTAGGACAAACCAAGATTTTAGTCAGCCCTGAACATATTACATATTCAATGTTAGCGTTCTCAAAGCTTTTCGCTCCTTTTCAGCGACCAGTAACTGTGAAAACCTGTGACTAACATTCAACTTTGATCTATCTATATCCAAAGTTTATTAGCTTTTAAAATGATACTGGTTCTGAAAATAAGCCAGTGTGCTCAAAGATCCAAGAGGTGCGGTATTCAGTTTATAATAAGAAAGATTAGTTCATTTTGGTTCAAGTTTAGGTCCATAGTGCATTTTTTGGCATCTTTTTCTCCCACGTTAGAATTGAAAACCACTACTTTAACCACTCATTCAAAGATGAATAAATATATATCTATAATCTTCCTGATTGTTTTAAGTGATGCCTTCTGGTCAAAGCCGTGTTAAATTCATAATCATAATCGTAAAAATACTCTAAATCTCCATACATTTGCCCCGCCGTAGCTCTAATATTGTCTGTGTAGCTTCGACTGTGTCTCGAATCAACATTATAAGCTTTAGCGTAGTCCATGTTTTCAAATTCTCGCGCGTTATGAAAAGACAGACTCTCTCTCTCTTCCCCCTCAAACTCTCCGTCCCTGAACCCAAAGTGATAAGCGCTCCTCCTGAATTCGTCGGAGTAAAGCAGAGTGTTTCTGGCTCGTCTGCTGGGTCTCTCGCACGATTTCCTCCTCAGAGACGGGAGGAAGAGCGAGGAGGAGCGTGCGGGAGGAGGGGGTAGATCATGCGGTGGACTGCCGGGTTGTACCTGATTGGAGGAGGAGGCAGGAGGCGTTTGATTGGCCGCGGAAGCAGCGGAGAGGGCGGGGCTTGCGGGATGGTTGGAAGACGGGATCTGTAAAATAGAAAAAGAAGAAATCTAACTTTCTTGACCTGGTTTAGACCTGGTTTAGACCTGGTTTAGACCTGGTTTAGACCTGGTTTAGACCTGGTTTAGACCTGGTTTAGACCTGGTTTACACCTGGTTTACACCTGGTTTGGACCTGGCTTGGACCTGGCTTGGACCTGGCTTGGACCTGGCTTGGACCTGGCTTGGACCTGGCTTGGACCTGGCTTGGACCTGGCTTGGACCTGGCTTGGACCTGGCTTGGACCTGGCTTGGACCTGCTTTAGACCTGCTTTAGACCTGCTTTAAACCATTCATCAGAGAAGCCACCATAATGATTCACATTTGACAGAGCTGAAGTTAGCTGGATATTTACTATCTCACCAGATACAATAGTGCCATATTTGTAAGGACCAGACAGACCAGAGACCAACCAGAGACAGAGACCAGGAAGAGAGACCAGAGAAATAGATAATAGAAAGAAAGAGACAAGACAGACACTAGAGAGAAAGAGACAAGAGAGAGACCAGAGCGAAAAACCAGTGAGAGGCCAGCGAGACAGACTAGAGAGACACCAGAGAGCCAGATAAGAGAGAAAGACACCAGAGAGAAAGAGACAAGAGAAAGACCAGAGAGAGAGACCAGAGAGAGAGACAGGGAGAGATCACAGAGAGAGACCTGAGATAGACAGGGAGCGAGCGATGGCCTCGTTAGAGAATTACATCCCCCAGCTTTAACCACTTGTGTTAAACCCTCCAAAACACCAACGCTGTCTTCTTCTATGATTGACCTGCGGTGAAACTCCGGTCTCTGTCTGCTCTGATTCTCAGTCGACGCAGAATGTGGAGCGGCCTGGTTAAAACTGTGGCACGGTTTGATCCAATTGGTCCCATTAAGTTTTTATGTCTCCTTATGCATTATGTAACCGCTGATTTCATTTAAAGATTATTCATAAGTTGGATTTGGAAAAAGCAGGAAGTGTGACAAAACTGATGAGCAGGAATCGGGACGTGGGTTTTTTATGTTTCAGAAAGAATTATTTAGTGTTTCTCAAGCGGCAGGTTATGGGGAAAACTTTCTACAACGACACATGGTTCGGAGTTGGCAGCTGCTTTGTCTAAATCGTGGGTAAATCGCTGTTTTAATTATGGATTTTTACATGAATGTGGGTAATGAGATATCTGTCACAGGGAATAAAGGGAAAGGATATGTATTTATATAGCACATTACATATATTATCAAAACTCTATGTAGAACAAAGACTCAGTTAAGGGTCTAAGGCACCAAACAACCATGTTACAAGATTCTTATAATGTGCTGAGGGCCAGAAAGAGCCCTGTGAGTCACTTTTTGACTCAATGGGCTGAGAGCTGATTGACTGAGCAAGCATAGTCCTCGCTTTTTCACGTTTCTGTCTGAAAAAGCTGATCTAAAGATGTGACAGAGGCCAGAAATACATGAAACGAGGGACTAGTTTCACCAAGATAAAGCTACAGATCTCATTGTGTTCAATAAGATAAACGGTCTCTCACTCCGGACTCTCTCCCTCACTCCGGTCTTTTCTCTCTGTTCTTGTAGTTTGAAAGTTACACACCAGCCTAAAATTGGGGAAATCCACCATGAAAGTTACTAGAAACTTGATCAAGATAAAAGCTACAAATATCTATTTTTTGTTACATTAGATAAACTCTTTCATCCTCTCAGACTGTACTGATCATTTTCATTCAGACCAAAAGCTGTTGTTAAAATCAAGTGTATCAGACCTGTTTTCCGGCTCGGAGTACCAGCAGCTGTATGGTTCCTCTGGCAGTCCCCTCTGCAGACATGGACCGCCTCAGCGTTTCCATGGCAGCATGGTTGGATCGTCCCACTAAATATTCACCATTGACTGCGATCATCTGGTCGTTCACACACAACCTGCCGTCCTGAAGGAAAAACAACAGAAATATATCATGTAGTAGGAGGCCTGTGTTTCCATAGCACTGGGGGAACCTGGTCCAGTCTAGTCCAGTTTGAGTCGAGTCTGGACCAGAGTCCAGTTTGGTCCAGTGTGAGTAGATGCAGGTGAAGCAGCACAGAGTGGGAGAGCTCAGTGAACAGAGGTCTGTGACGAGTGGCACCGAGTGAGTGTGTGATCACACACAGAGCAATACATGAATGAATGGGAGAAAATAAATGCAAAAAAATAAAAATAGAATATCCATCCATCCATCCATTTTCTTCCGCTTGCCGGGTCGCGGGGGCAGCAGTCTAAGCAGAGACGCCCAGACTTCCCTATCCACACACACTTCCTCCAGCTCGTCGGGGGGAACCCAAGGCGTTCCCAGACCAGCGTGTCCTGGGTCTTCCCCGGGGCCTCCTCCCGGTGGGACGTGCCCGGAACACCTCCCCAGGGAGGCGTCCAAGAGGCATCCGGAAGAGATGCCCAAGCCACCTCAACTGGTTCCTCTCGACGTGGAGAAGCAGCGGCTCTACTCAGAGCTCCTCCCGTGTGACCGAGCTTCTCACCCTATCTCTAAGGGAGCGCCCAGCCACTCTACTTGAGGAAGGACTGCTCCACCCACCTGGAGAGGGCAAAACACCTTTTTCCGGTCGAGCGCCATGGCTCGAATTTGGAGGCGCTGATTCTCATCCCAGCCGCTTCATGCTTGGCTGCAAACCGCCCCAGTGCATGCTGCAGGTCCTTGTTCGTTGGGGCCAACAGGACAACATCGTCCGCAAAAAGCAGCGATGAAATCCTGAGGTCCTCGAACCAACCAGACCCCCTCCGGCCCTGGCTGCGCCTAGAAATTATGGCCATAAAAACAGTGAACAAAACCGGTGACAAAGGGCAGCCTTGGCGGAGGCCAACATGCACCGGGAACAGGTCTGACTTACTGCCGGCAATGCGCACGCAGCTCTGGCTCTGGTCATACAGGGACCGAACGCCCCTCAGCAGAGGACCCCGTACTCCGGAGAACCCCCCAAAGGACACCCCGAGGAACACGGTCGAACACCTTCTCCAAATCCACAAAGCACATGTGGACAGGTTGGACAAACTACCATGAACCCTCGAGTATCAATTGAAAACTTGAGCTCATTAATTCAGCTTGTGTATGAATTCAGGCCGTAAAAGTGCCGAGTAGAGACTTGGCGTGATGCCCGCTCTCACTCACAGAACAATGAGCGAACAGGCTGCGTCCTCTAGCCTCTACAGTGCTACTAAACACAGCAACATGTAAGCAGAACTGGCAATAACTCCTCTTGCTGTAACTGCATACACAGCAAAACAGCCCAAACGACACAACAGTGAGGAAGAGAAGCGGGAACTAAAGCAAAAGAATTATCAGAGAAGAAATCAAGCCCGGGTGAACATAGCTAGCTTACATCGTAACCTCTGGAGAGATTTACTGTCTATGGGAGAGACCGCCTCGGACTATCCTTGCTCGGACTACATTCGGACGCGGAACTAGCAGTAATCTTTCAGTTATATATTTTGTTAGCAGTGCGTTGCTTTTGTACCATTTCATCAGTGATTGTAGTACAGTTTACAAGAAGTTGCGCTCATGCTAATGTTTGCATATAGATCGCAAATAAAACTAGAGAGCTCCATGGGATGAGAGCGTAGGGGAAATGAGAGACCCGTGAGTAAGTTGATTGAACATTCAAACCTTGCAGAAATGGGTATGGCTCCTTTAATAATGTCCATTAAGAATAACTGATTTATACTAATGTTCATAAAAGGTCAAAATTAGGTGTGCATGTGATAAATACAAAATAATAATAATAACAATTCATAGTAATACACCACGATGTCAAGTTTCTGTTGTGCTGAAACAGTATCTCTCCAGGGGACAGGACCGGAGCCCTCTGCTCTAATTATTGTGATTCTCATTTATGCCGACTTAATGTAGCTCTAAATCAAACGAGAAAGAGGAGCTCGCAAAGACGGAGACGAGCAAGACAAATGAAGAAAGAAAAGTAGAAAATTAGAATATACATGCGAGAAGAGAGGAGAATGTTGTTAGGGCAGTGATGAACGCCGGGATGTGGCTAATGGAATGGGTTGGACACGTACTAAATCAAGTCTAAGTGTTTTTGTGGAGGGAAGGGGGAGGAGAACAGGGACGAGCTGTTTTACTGCGTATTAGAATCTGTTCCATTATAAGAGACAGATTCAGTTTATTTGCCATTTGCAGTGAATGGAAATAAAAGCCGCATGACTGCTTGTTCTCAAGCCTCAGTCCTGGATCTACAGCTTTTGTCCTGGATCTACAACCTCAGTCCTGGATCTACAACCTCAGTCCTGGATCTACAACCTCAGTCCTGGATCTACAACCTCAGTACTGGATCTGCAACCTCAGTCCTGGATCTACAAACTCAGTCCTGGATCTGCAACCTCAGTCCTGGATCTACAACCTCAGTCCTGGATCTGCAACCTCAGTCCTGGATCTACAACCTCAGTCCTGGATCTGCAACCTCAGTCCTGGATCTGCAACCTCAGTCCTGGATCTGCAACCTCAGTCCTGGATCTACAACCTCAGTCCTGGATCTACAACCTCAGTCCTGGATCTGCAACCTCAGTCCTGGATCTACAACCTCAGTCCTGGATCTGCAACCTCAGTCCTGGATCTACAACCTCAGTCCTGGATCTACAACCTCAGTCCTGGATCTACAACCTCAGTCCTGGATCTGCAACCTCAGTCCTGGATCTGCAACCTCAGTCCTGGATCTACAACCTCAGTCCTGGATCTACAACCTCAGTCCTGGATCTGCAACCTCAGTCCTGGATCTACAACCTCAGTCCTGGATCTGCAACCTCAGTCCTGGATCTACAACCTCAGTCTTGGATCAACAGCCTGTCTGTCTATGGGAGAAGATCCCTCTCTCAAAATGGGCCTCCTCAATGTTTTTCAATTTTTCCCTCTAGGTTTTTTGAGTCGTACGTCTCTGATGCAGGAGGGTCTAAGGACAGTGATGATCCAGGACATTTCTGGACAGTGGTCATTCCGCTCCCTATGGACCAATGGCTCCTATGTGTTTGTTATTTCATTTTCTGTGTTGGAACCGTTTGTTTCTTTGATTATTTCAAATGTTGTGATGTCCTATAAACACAAGCTACCGAACTGTTAAGCGGCCATCTTGTTTCTCTCTCCTCTCGAACTGCCGCCACTTTCCCTCTCTCCACTTCTCACTTCCATATCTTCTAAATCCTTTCCTTGCTTCCCTCTCGTCCTGCTTGACCCACCTTGACCCTGAGGACCTCTTCCAGTCAGCAAAACGCCGCCTTATCTGCACCACTTCAACTCAGAGGAACAAACACTCATCGCTCCACGTTCTCTTCTTCCTGGCTCACATCCGTCGGCGGCATGTGCCGTGTGTTTGGGAGATAGCGCTGGTCCTGGATCAGAATGAGATAAAGAACGGCTCCCTGTGGAGACTTCCCAAGTAGTGACAGCAGGGAGTGTGACGTCTGCTGCTACTGATGCTGCTGTGTGACAAGCAGAACTGAAGAAAGACCCGTTTTTGTGATCGGCCAAAACATTACATCCACTTTTGGTAGGAACAGTGGTTATAAAAGTCTTGCTGTTTATAGATAGATCCCTGTAGGAGAAATTCAGGTGTCCAGCAGCAGAAATACATCCATACAAACACATAAGTAATCATTCTAAAAGTGCTAACTCACTAAGTGACTAACAAAAGTGCACAGATCTGTACAGTCTTGTAGCCCAAGGAACAAAGGATCTCTTAACTCATTGCCTGCCAGCCTATTTCAGAACAGGTACTCTCATATTGCCAGCAGTTTCTGATGATTTTTATTGATTTTTCAAGACCCACAGAATATTGTGTACTATGACGATCTGAAATCCGATTCTGAAAGAATGGACTGTCTACTTTCATCCAAAAAAAATAATTTTATTTCAAGCTTGTTTTGTTCCACTGTAATCCCCGGTCGAGTAGAGGGAAGTTTGACTGAAATCACCAGTCTCAGACAAAAAGCTGAGAAAAAGAGGTGCAACAAGTGCATCCTGTATTCAAAACAGCCAGAGGCAGCGCTGGTACCACCTGCTGGCTCCATATGCTCTAAGCTAATCATCATACATATTATATATAATAGATCTATGGGAACATGAAAATAGTGAAAAACTTATTTGACGTATTAACACGTGGCACAGAACCATACTATTTGAAACCTGTTGCTACAACTATCTTTTTTTTAAACATACAGTATTAATCAATGTGTCCAAACAGCGTCAACATGAATATGCTGGAACTAGTACAATAGCTAAATTGCATCCATTGTCCTAAGGCAGGTAGAAACATACAAATACACAGTTATGTAAAAGTACAAACAATAAGTCGACAAGCACATAAAGCCTATGACTTTACACTAAAGCAAAAACAATTCCACACAGGCGGATTACACCCTTAGTTCTTGGAGGACTGACAAGACAAGAGCCTCATTCACTCTAAGTAAAAACTGTTGCATGTTCTTTAAACACTGAGAGACAAGGGATGTTCAATCATACACACTATATTTATGCTGCTTTACAATAAGTTAAATATTTGCCTATTTGACACTCAACCATCCAACAGACCTACCACCCTTGTGGCGCGAAGTCATGATCCTGAGTTAACCCAAAATATTCAAAAGTGGTTAGCCTGGTGTAAGATGGACAGAGGAGCAGAAGCAAAGAATCAATGATAAAAGAAATACCAGACTGTAGTAGAATAAAGTCTGACAGCATCTCCGTCGATTTGCCCTCAACACAATCATTGTACAGTCTTTTTATCGCGTCTGTTTGTGTCTCCCTGAATAGAACTGTCTCAATAGGAACTGCAGTTTTACCAATTAACCAATGGAAACATGTCACCATAAGTAGAATTCTGTAGTCGGACATATAAACAAGTTGGCATCTCCAGTGGTCAGAATGTCGTCTTGCATTCTTGGCCTAAGTTTGAACAAGTGTTGACATAGGACAATTCATTGTAGACCTCAAAATCATGCTTTCATAGTGTTTTGCAACCTTTTTACCGAGGCGTGTTCATTGTGATTGTCGTTACCTTCACTTCCATTTGGACATTAATATGAACAAATATTAGCACCATTCTCGCAGACCGAAACCTGTTTGTACCTTGTAAGCGGCTCCTCCGTGGATGATGGACTTGATGAAGATGCCCAAGTCCTCTCCGGTCTCCCTGGACTTGTTCCCCTTCAGACTGACCCCGAGTCCAGCTGATCCGGACTCGTTCAGTGGAATCTCGAACATCAGCTGCTCCCTGCCGTCCTCCATCACCACACTGCTCGCCTCCTCTCCCTTCTGGAAACACAACACATATATGGAATTCAAAGACAGAGATTCAAAGAGATTCAAAGATTATTGACCTGATCCAGGACCAGACCAACGCTGACCTTTATTTTTTTTTAAGTATAACCGGGTATTGAGCCTCATACTGTGACTCAAAACAACAAAGTATTGCCTCATTTGAGCTACCACTTCTACCACTGCATTGGACTATTTTTCTCATACAGCATTTTTTCACAGTTCTTGGGGTACAGCCCAGAGGAGGCGCTATTCTGGGAAAGGGTGGCCAGAGACCTGTCCACCCTATTAGCGTGCCCCTGTTCCCCCACGGTCTTTCTTTTGAATGATTTTACTGCACTGGGGCTTAACAGACCTACCCAAAGGATCTTATTGGCTGGACTTCCGGCTGCGGAAAAATGGTTGCCACCAGGTTGAAGCCTCCCTACTCGCTATCCCGCCGCCAGTGGTTTATGATATTTATCGACATTGCGTATCTAGAACTTTCTACGTCTTGAATAAAATGGCGCTAAAGAAAGCACAATTGCAATGTGGGTTAGTTTGATGGATAAACAAGTCATTTTCCTTCTGAAAAGGGCACTCACCCTGGAGTAGTACAGGTTTTCATGTAGACTTCTGTATTATTATTATTTTTTTTTCTTTTGCCAAATGGACCTAAGTGTACGCTCGGGCGTGTCTATATTTTCGGGTCTTGCTTATTATTATTGGTACTGATGATGATGGTAACAAAAAATTGTAATAATACTATTATTATTATTATTTTTATATGTTTATTGTTATTCATTTTTATTATTACAATTATAATTTAATGTAGGTATTAGAGGCGAAGTGCAGTGGTGTGATGACGGGAGCAATGTGGTGTCTGGTGGTATTGACTATAATGATGGCATTTTAACAGCCCAGCTATGATTACTTTTAGTAAAGATTCAGCTGCTATCTCCCTTAAAGGGCTTTGTAAACATAGACTTGAAATTTGGAATAGTATACCCAAGTCTTCCCCTGTCAAACATAATGAGTTTGTATGTAAGTGTGTGTATTTGTGTGTGAATGGGTACTTACAGATGTATGTGTATACAAAAAGCAAAGAAAATGCATCCTCACATGCTGTTTTTAATGCACCTCACCCCGTTTTTAATGCACAACATAACATCTCAGAAGGGAAGACTTGGTTACATATAAATTATAGTCCCTTCGGCAACTTCGCCCCGGTTTAACTTTAGTCATGGCAGCCACCACCATTGTTGTCTTCCTTGACATTTACACCCTTTGCACATTCTCTCAACGGACACGTAAAATCATGATCAAACACACAGACATAAAACCAACTTAAAGAGCATGTGCACACACCACACGTTCCCTTTTGTCTCCTGTCAAACGTCCTTTTCTACCTGCACCTTATGTGTCTTTGTTCCTTTTTGTATGTCATTATGTTTTCATACGTTTGTCTCTTTTTTCTGTATGGCTGAATAAAATGTTAATAAATAAAATAAATAAAATAAAAATAAAAAGCTGGGGTACTATCATTTCCCTAGTTCCTCGCTCTCAAAAAACTTTGCTTCTATCGTTTGTTGAATGTATCTCTGACCACTATCACAACTTTTTCACTATTTGTCTGAAAAAGCAAATCTAAAGAGTAGACAGTGCTCTAACGTGTTCAACAATATTTTTTCTGTTGGACAAAGTATATGGTATTTAATGGGAGAAAAGTGAAGTATCCCTGCTTTAAATGCCTAAGTAAATATTCTTTAAGATCCAGTTTAAGAGCCAAAAGACAAACTATGTAGAATGCATGATTTAGTTGTTTAAAAAGGTAAAACATAGCTCTATTCACAACATCCAAATACTGTATATAAGGAATAGTGTTGCCTTAATGCAGAAGAAGCCAATAAGAACAAACTCGAAGAGGCTAATTGAGCGAGAATGTGGAGCCAAACGCATGCTAATCTTGTCTGTAGCATCGGTCGAGTTACTAAGAGCCAATCAGAAGCAGCTCCAATCTGTCCCTGCTCACACTACTCGCTACTGAAGCCAAATTTGGCGACAGAACGCTCCTGATTGTTCAGATATTATGGCTGATATCTGAATTTAAAACACAATATCACATTATTATGGACCAGTTTACTTTGTGTCTAAAATATACATTAATAATAATATACACACCAGGATCCCAAAGAGCTCTAAACCTGGAATTCTGTTACCAAAATGGTGAGTGTCACACAAACAGTTACTGACCTAAAGGAGGATACTTTTATATGTTGGCTCCAAGCCAGAGAGGCTTGGAGCCAAACTTTGTCTTTGAGTACTTCCCTTCATTGAGCTAGCGGGTTTGCATCGTCCATCTGTATAAATTCTTAGGTTACATCACAGTTTGAGGTCTGTTTTCAACGAGAAACAATGTTGTAATTTGGTTAAAATTTATTAATCTAAAGACCAGGAATAATTTTGAAAACCCAACATAATCATATATTCAAAGGCGTCCTGGGATATTCAACCAGTCTATAGAGTCGACCCAGCCTCCATCTGTGCAAAACATCTTTCCTATCATGAAATCGGGCTGAAAACGCTTCTATTTCTTTACATTGAGTGAGCCAGAAAGCCTACTCTTTTGTCAGGACTTCGAAATGTTGCTGAAATAGTAGAAATATGGCAGAAAAACTGGACTCATAGCTAAAAACCTGGATATACAGATCAGAAACCTAAATCTCAACATATATGCCAATTATTTTATTTACGTTTTGGGGAACAATGTGTTGATTGAAGCTATTTTGAGTGGATGGGGGCTCATCCAATCCATACTGTCCATTTCCAATTACACGTCCAGTTTTTGGGGGATCTAGCTTTGTGTAAACTGCTAGTACTACTTCTGCTGCTGCTGCTGCTGCTACTACTGATCCATAAATATGACTAGTTTGGAAACCTCAAGTCTACATCACACTTATAATAAATAGAGATTCTAATCACGGTGGAGTGGATAAGTACCGCTGCTGTCACTCAACCTTGATTCTAACTCGGCGTTTCCCTTTTTCAGGACAAGAGGAAAACGTGTGATAAAAGCAGAGATAGACAGCCGCCAGTCAACTCTGCATCTTCAAGGGAAATGTATAAAGAATATTCATAAGTCCATAGAGGGCGAGGAACCGGGGCCCTCTTCAGAGACGTGTGGTTGCATTGGCTTACATCAGAAAGCAGCAGGGGTTTGTACATAGTGACAAGAGCAAAAGGACCAAGATGCATCCAGGGACTGAACCAGGACTGGAGAGAGACCAGGGACTGTGGCAGAGACTGGAGAGAGAGCCCAGGGACTGAGGCAGAGACTGGAGAGACAGGCCAGAGACTGAACCGGGACTGGAGAGAGACCAGGGACTGAGGCAGAGACTGGAGAGAGACCAGGGACTGAGCCAGAGACTGGAGAGACAGGCCAGGGACTGAACCGGGACTAGAGAGAGACCAGGGACTGAGGCAGAGACTGGAGAGAGACCAGGGACTGAAGCAGAGACTGGAGAGAGATCAGGGACTAAAGCAGAGATTGAAGAGAGACCAGGGATTTAAGCAGAGACTGGAGGGAGACCAGGGACTGAACCAGGACTGGAGCGAGACCAGGGACTGAAGCAGAGACTGGAGAGAGACCAGAAACAAAGACCAGGACAAAAGAAAGAACCAAGTCTGAACTGATCTTTTAGAAAGCATAAGAAAGAACCCTGTGAGTAACTACTTGATCTTTTGAGCTGAGGGGTGTCCTCTCGTTTTCACATTTCTGGTCTGAAAAAGATGATCTAAAGATGTGACAGTGGCCAAAAATACAGACAAACTAGTGATAGAAGCAAACTTATTCAGAGCCAGGAATGACATGGATTTTAGTTTAAAGACAGCCCAGTCTGGACCAGGATTAAAAATACCACTTCTACCACTGAACAAATGTAACATAATTTAATCAGACTAAGCTCAGATTAATCCAAATCTAGACCAGGTCTCAGTGGTGGTCCCATCTCTGCTTCTCCCCTGGGGCTCCCTGGTCCCGTGAGGAGGCCTGAACCCTGACTCTGCTTTTCTTTCCACAATAATGGCTCTTTAACAAGCTTTTAGCCTGAATAGAACGCCCTCTGCACCAAGCTCTAACACAAAAAGCTGATTTTTCATTTCGCTCCGAGGGGAACAGGGAAGGGGCGTCCACTGTGAGACATAAGGCCTTTTGTCAAACTGGATTTTAAAAAGGAGAGGCCTCAAACAGAGGATTAGCAGCACGTGCTACAAGCGATTAAGATGGAAATGGAAAACTGGAAGAGGTATGCCTTCTAAAGCAAAGACTAGGGCAGAGATTAAAGCAGAGACTTAAGCGCAGAGACTAAAACAGACTAAAGCAGACACTGGAGCAGAAACTAAAACAGAGACTGGAGCAGAGACTGGCGCAAAGACTGGAGCAGAGACGGAAGCAGAGACTGAAGCAGAGACTGGAGTAGAAACTACAGCAGAGACTAAAACAGAGACTGAAGAAGAGACTAGAGCAGGGGTGGCCAACCCGCGGCTCGTGAGCCGCATGCGGCTCTTTGGCTGGTTCCGTGCGGCTCTCGGGCTTTCACTCGACAAGCGTCAAAAACGCCTCGGTGGTGGCGCTGCCTTTCATTCCATATGTAGTTCTGACCAATAGTAAAGGCCGACTTCACTCCACTAGCCAGGCCACCAAAACAATCTGACGTCGGCGAACGTCAATTCTGGTTGGTCAGATGCGCTGTCAATCACTCTGCAGCTGCTACCTCAGCTGTAGCAAATATCATAACAAACAACACGTTGCCTCGAACCATGACGTCCGTACGGAAAACAATTCCTTGGTCGCTGGATGAGGGCAACACCTTCCTCAGTTTGAGGAGAGGACACCAGCCTGATCTCGCTGGTTCCACCAGAAACCAGAAGGTGTTTGTGGAGCTAGCACTAAGGACGGAGCAGAATGATTCCCACAAACATGACAATGCAGAGAAAAGTTAAAAAGCTTAAAAGTGACAACCGTGAAATGAAAGATCGCAGCAGCAGAAGTAGAGGCAGACCCGAAAAGTCTGGAGGTGGTTTGACCAAATGGATTACATTTACGGACATCGGCTAACACCGGCTAACATGCTAAAACCAGCTAACAACAACTAGCATTACACCAGGAGATAAGCCAACTCTGCCTGGTGAGTGTCTGTCTTCAATCAAATGCAAAAGTATCTGGTCTTATACTGAGCATGTGTCTGTGGTTCTAAATCAGCTAAAGTGGGTGTTGGTGTTATGTGTCAAATCTATATCTTTTACTAAAGACAGTTGTGTTTCTGCTGAACACTGGGTTGAAACTTGATTTTTTTTTCTTGGTTAGAGATTGAAAGCATTCATTTCGGAATCATAATTGATGTTCGCTGACGTGAAATTGTTCTGGTATCGACTCGCCCGGTTAGAACCAGGGCCAAACCATTAATAAAAAGTACCGGGGAGCGGTTGAAGCGAGCGGTTGAAGCGAGCGGTAGAAGCGCCCGCAAACCAGGGAGAGTCGAGTCCAGCCCTTTAGTACTGTACGAGTCAATTTCTGTCATTATCATGTTGATGACATTTACAATAAATCTGTCTGAGCAGAGCACACCTCTCTCTGCTCAGACAGATTGCATGTGTGTGCGCGTGTCTGCTCGTGTGCGTACAGTACGTGCGCGTGTGCGTGCGTGTGTAAGGGTTGGGGTGATGTTTATGTAGTGCACATTTGTATGATGTGGCTCTTTGCTGTAACACAGTAAAAAAAATTGGCTCTTAGTCTCTGACTGGTTGGCCACCCCTGGACTAGAGTAAAGCAAAAAGCAGAGACTGGAGCAGAGACTAAAACAGAGACTAAACAGAGACTACATCAGAGACTAGATCAGAGACTAAACAGAGACTGAAGCAGAGACTGAAGCAGAGACTAGAGCAGAGACGAAAGCAGAGATCTATTAAGAGCTTTTGTCAACTTAAAATGATGGAGGTTGTCTTGTGCAGGCTTAGCGGCTCGAGTAACATTCAATTAAGATGAAATCAGAAAAACTGTCACCGCGCCGCCGGAGGAGCTGCCAATTAATTGTCTTAATGTCTTCCACGCTCACACCTCGTTCCACAGACCGAGATGAGCCGATAGCACCGACGGCTTCAACCAAACGTAATAAAAGCAATAATAAACTTTAATACGACAGGGAAGGAACTAGAGGATTGGGAAAGTCAATGTAGAAAACTTGAATCTGGGATAATTAAATCTTAAAAACTTGTAATAAAACTTATGTCAGTCGAGGCTGGAATGTTAAATATACCTTTTCAACCACTATATTAGGAAGGTGGTTCTCATCCAAAAATACTTATATTTTTTAAAACTGGGGTACCTAATTTTCCTAATTCAGAACTCTCTTTTTTTTTCTTTTTTTTTTGCTCTATCAGTAGTTTACATGTTTTTGGCCTCACAGCTCTAGATCAGCCCTGTCTGACAGAAAAGTGGATGAGAGAGGACCACCCTCACTCAGCCAATCAGCTCTCAACCAGGACTGGAGAGAGACCAGGACTGAAGCAGAGACTGAACCAGGACTGAAGAGAGACCAGGACTGAAGTAGAGAAGTGAACCAGGACTGAAGCAGAGACTGAGCCAAGATTGAAGAGAGACCAGGACTGAAGCAGAGACTGAACCAGGACTGTAGAGAGATCAGGACTGAAGCAGAGACTGAACTAGGACTGTAGAGAGACCAGGACTGAAGCAGAGACTGAACCAGGACAAAAGAGAGACCAGCACTGAAGTAGAGAACTGAACCAGGACTGAAGCAGAGACAGAACCAGGACTGAAGAGAGACCAGGACTGAAGCAGAGACTGAACCAGGACTGAAGAGAGACCAGGACTGAAGCAGAGACTGAACCAGGACTGCAGAGCGACTAGGAGACCAAGCATAATCCTGCTTCAGTCCTGTTTTACCAGGACTCATTAACATTTACATTAAAGCTTGGGTACCTACATTTGAAGCCACAAAAATATAAATCTGTTATCAAATCCATTGCTAGCTCCTGGTGCTAAAACACTTTACTTCTATCATTAGTCTGTAACATCTTTAGATCAGCTTTTTCAGACAGAAAAGTTACTAAAAGAGGACCACCCTCACTCGGGCCAATCATCTCTCAGCCCAAAAAGTCAAATAGTAACTCACAGGGCTCTTTATTACACAAAAAGTAACATTCTTCTTTCTATTGAGATGAAAACAGCATGCTGTGTTCAATCTGTCCACAACATTTTACTGAAATTAGACTTTTGGGGCATAGATTAAGGCATGGGCATTAAAAAGTCAGGTACCCCAGCTTTAATTGCCTCCTTTTGAAGCCGCAGGAAGGGGAATAGTTGGCACAGAGGATGGGGCTGTCTTTCATGTCGTGTGCTTATTGTTAATGCGCAGGAAGAACGGTGGTGCGTGACCTTTGGGGCGCGGGCCGGTACGCTGGCCTGCTAGCGCCCGAGGGGAGTTAGCGTGGCCTGCTAGCTTGTTTCCTGTGGGGTTAGCACGCGCAGCGCTTCCGTTAGCATTGCTGTGTCAACAGGAGAGCGCAGGGCAGGAAGAGAGGCTTTGTTTTTCTGTGCGTGGTGTTTATGGAGCGACAAAAGAGGAGGAAAAAGCACAGAGACAGCTAAATATATTTTTGAAAACTTATATTCTGGAGTAGCACTGGACTATGTGTACTAACATCTAAAACATTATTAGCATTCATTTCAGGCTAGACACACTTCTGTCTGCTATCAATTATAATCTCATACAGTTGAATTTCTCTTACAAGGATTAATAAATTATAAATGTATCTGTCTTTAAATATTAAATTACATATAAACATAATGCATTTATGTTAAAAGGCCCCTTATATATCAAGTTAGCAAACAGTGGCAATATATATCCTTAGAGCCTGATTAGCAATGCCAAAATTAATTGCGTAAGAAAGTGCCCTATGAGTCACTATTTGACTTTTTGAGCTGAAAGCTGATTGGCTGAGTGAGGGTGGTTCATCTCTTTCTCAAACATGCATGAAAACTTTTGTTGGTTTGAAAGTTAGGGATCCCAGCTTTAAAGTATTGTATGTATACATCATTGGGTCATCACCAGTTCTCGGGGCAGAAACAGGTCCTCCGGTCGAGCCACCACCAAATACACGCTCTCTCCCTGTTTGGTGGAGCGAAGCATTCCCACCAGCTCCTCCTGAGTGCGGCCGCTCATGTCCACGCCATTCACCTGCGAGAAGAGGGATTGTTTTACTTTTTGTAATACAGTTGGTCTCCATCAGACTGGAATAAACTCCCCACATCCATACGATCCATTATGTACAGTATTTTGGTTGATTTAAGTTTGAATTGTTTAGGGTCCTTAAAACTCTTTGTTTAGGTCACTAATGTTCTACCTGATCATAATTATTTTTGTATGTATGTATTTATCAATTATCCACATGTAATTATTTGTTAATAGTTTTAAATGTTGCTTTCTAAATGTTTAATTTTAGCAGAGGGAAGGAGTGGGGTGAGAAGGAGCATTTGTTTACATATTTGTGTGTGTTTATGTAATTATCTTTTCTTATCCTTATTGATCCGTAAATTGTTATGTATGAGTGTATGTGTGTATGTATGTATGTATGTATAGATGTGTATGTATGTGTGTATATGCGTGCGTGCGTGTATGTATGTGTGTACATGTTAGTATGTTTAATTTATGTGATGAGATGACTCATCTCAAGGGGCTTTCCTTAAATAATTTTCAGTGTGTCCCAGGGCAACATTGTCTACAAAAATACCAGGTTTACAGTATGAAACAGAGATAGCCTCTATAAGCTAGCTGCAACATGCTTTGTAATATACAGTATAATGATCTGATGCATATTCATGAAGAATACATACGGAAAAATTAGGGCTGTCAAAATTATCGCGTTAACTAATTAATAAAAAATAAAAATCCTTAATTGCGTAAAAAAAATAATGTCTTGACGCATGCACGAAATGACCCGCCCAAGCATGCCATAATAACACTCAGAATGCCACGGACACGTGCGTGTGTGAGATGGTAGAGCAGGTCTCTGGGGATTCAAGCTTAAAAAGAAAATGCGCGTGACTGCGAGGCACTTGCTGTTGTTTGCTGTATGTACCGAACGGGAGTCTGCATCCCCCGTGGCCGCAGCGTTCTGACCCTGGGAAGCTGCGGCCGGTCTTGACAGAGGTTCCCATCTCCAGCGGCTGTCGCTTCGGCAAACGCTGTAACATCGCACAGGACTATTCTCTGCTTGTTGTGTGCAACAAGCAGAGAAAAAAAAAATGTTTGTTCGTTTAACAGCCCTAAAATAAATACAAAGTGATGTAATCCCCTCTTGCTCATACAAGGCATACTGTACACAAAAAGAGAGACACACACAGACAGACAGAAAGACAGACACACACAATAGAAGTTTCTAATGCTTAATAACACCAATTACATCATCCCACCAAGTTCTTCCGCTTGATCCGTGTGTGTGCGTGTGTGTGTGAGTGCATGTGTGTGCGTGCGTGTGTGTGTGTGTTACCTCCAGGATACGGTCTCCAGGCTGCAGGCGTCCGTCCCTCACTGCGGCTCCTCTCTGCAGAATGTTCTTGACCAGGATCGGACCAGGGCCGTGGACCGTGGAGTCCCGGGTCACGACGGTGAAGCCCAGACCCTCTGGACCTGAGCACAGTCAACAACAACTTCAATAGCAGATCCTTAAAGTGATATGTTCTAAACCTGATCACAGCACTTTAATGATCTGGCACTTGTTATTGAAGCTGTTTTTGTTGATTAATTTCACATTGACAACTGTTTCTTGTACTTTTTATTTTGTTTTATTTATGTACTTGTCTGTTGCACACAGGGGACTCTTGCACATGTATTCCAATTTATACTATGTTTCACAGCTCAATAGTAATTGAACAGTGCATATAGGTAATGTCCTGCGAGAAAACAAGTGAGGGGGCTTCCATCTTGTAGCAACAGTTCATATGGCGGCCCTAAGTCTGAGTCATTACGGAAGAGGGACCAGCGGAGGACGACCACTGTCCTGAACTGTGTGGAAACTCCTATGTGGAAGAACCAGTGTCTAGCCCTCTTCTCCTGACCTCCAGCTCTCTCCTACTCACTCCTCCAGCCCTCTCCTCCTCACTTCTCTGGATCTTATCTCCTCACCTTCTCCAGCCATCTCCTCCTCATCCTCTCAACCATATCTCATCTCCTACAGACATCTGATCCTCATTTCCTCTCCTCACCTGCTCCTCTCCTTCCTCCACATCACAAACACCCCCGCTTCCCTCCTTCTACTCTGGTTGTTTTGGATTCCTATGCTCCTCCTTCTCTTTCCCCTAGCCCTCTCATCCTCACCTCCTCCTCCTCTCCACCATATCACAAACACAGCTGCTTCTCCCCCTCTCCTCTGGCTGTTTCTGCTCACTGTCCTCCTCCTCTCTCCTCCTCTCTCTTTCAGCCCACTCCTCCACACCTCCTCATCATCGTCACAAAACACCCCTGCTCCTTTCTTCTCCTCTGGCTGTCTCTGCTCCCTGTGCTCCTCTGGATTATGATACACTTTTAGCTTTAATTTCACGACTCATCGCCTTCCCAAAGCGGGGGCTAAAGATACCGCTACCTCCGTGCGTAGCCTCCCCGTGGAAAATATTTTATATATTTCATTTTCAACCTGGGAAACCTTGAATTATAAATAAATAAATCGAACGGTGTCAAGTATTTTCATGGCATCGCAAGCCTCAAGTCAAGAGTGAAATGTGCAAATGCGACCTAGCGTGCTAACAGATGCTATCTATCCTGGAAGCTAACCTAGCGCCTGGCTTATAATATTACCATTATACACAGCTGTCAATCAACGAAAGATCCTGGTTTAATTATGTACGTTTTGTGTTTTAAAATTATAATATCTTGAGGAACAATATTGTAACACGGAGAAAATAGAAAACGTTGATTGGCAGAACTCCTCTTGTTCAATGTATCCAGGAAGTGCCCTTTGGATTTACCCTGGTAATGACTAAGTATTTTGTACTCAAAGATCTAAAGAAACCAGAGCGAGAGACCAGAACGAGACCAGAACGAGACCAGAGAAATATCAGAGACACCAGAGAGAAACCAGAGAAAGCAGAATCCAAAAGGAGACCTGCATGAGACCAGACATCAGAGAGAGACCAGAGAGAGACCAGAGACCAGAGAGAGACTAGCATGAGACCATAAAGAGACCAGTATAAGACCAGCATGAGACCAGGGAGAGACCAAAGAGAGACCAATGAGAGACCAGAGTGAGACCAGAGCGAGAGACCAGAGAGAGACCCAATTGAGGCCAGAATGCGACCAAAGAGAGATGTTAGAGAAACCAGGGAGACCAAAAAGAGACCAAATAGAGACCAGAGAGAGACCAGAGAGAGAACAGAGAGAGACCAGAATGAGACCAGAGATAGAGACCAGGGAGAGACCAGAGAGAGAATAAAAAGAGATCAGAGTGAGAGAGACCAGACCTTTCTGTCTGAAAAAGCTGATCTAAAAATGTGACAGAAGTAAAAAATACACGAAAACTACTGATAGAAGCAAACTGTTTTAAAGCGTAGACTGTATGTGTAAATGCCACAAAAGTCGAGGAGTAATGGGCCAGAATTCAAGCCAATTATTGAGCAAAGCTTCACTGTAATAAGAGAATCAGACCAAACTTTGATGTTAAATATTTTAAGTAATTACTATATACTTCATTTTCCACTATTCTATATTTTTGGTTAACAAATAAGTACTGTATAATATTATCATAGCGCCCTGTACAACACTGATTTTATTGCTTTTAGTGAAAATACTTTAAATATTTCTTCAATAAGCCTGGTGGGCCATTAATGACAAAACAAATATATTGTGTTGATTGAAAACAAAATGTGGCGAAGCAGTGATGCTACCCAGAATGCATTGCAGAGCAAAATATAAACTTCTTAAAAATTCTACATTTGAGCATTAATTTTAAGAGTGAATATGAAGCAAGTCCTAAAGCAAAATACTTGAGCAACATTTTGAATAAACTAATTTGATCAAGTAAGTAATTGTATTTATTTTTTACCAACCGTGATCGAAGCCCTGTCGATCACGGTTGGTAAAAAATAACTACCCTTATACTACCCCTATACTCCCTGGTTTCAAATCAGACATCCATCATAATGATTAATAATATTTTTGAAGGAGTGGATTACAGATTTGGTAAATCTCTCTTTGCTGACGACGGTGCAATTTGGAAGAGCGGGAGGAACCTCAATCATTTGTTCTCTCAAACACAGAAAGTTTTAGATCAAATTATTCAGTGGGCAAATTGTTGTCAATTTATGATTTTTGGGTTGAAGAAAAACATTCCCTCTTGTAATCTCTACATGTATTGATCAGTTATTGAAAAGGTTAAAAAGTTTAAATTCTTGGGGCTGTGGTTTGACGAAAAACTAATTTGGAGAGACCATATCGGGAAAATGGTTAGCAAATGTGTGAAAGTTATTAACATTATGAGGAGTCTCTTAGGTAGTGACTGGGGGGCAGAAAGGTATACCTTACAGCTGATTTACAGGGCTATGATTAGGCCTATTTTAGATTATGGCAGTGTAGTTTTTGGGAGTGCCTCTAAATCTGTGTTAGAAGTTTTGGATCGTGTGCAGACTAAAGCCCTAAGAATCTGTTGTGGAGCATTCAGAACTACCTCTATCCCAGCATTGCGTGTGGAAATGGGTGAATTTCCTTTAAGAATGAGACGGGAGAAGCTTGGTGTTCAGTATTGGACTAGATTGGCCGAGGCCAGTAATGGTGTAGCAGCAAAATGCCTTTTGGATGAGTGCTGGGAGTTCAGCAAAAAACAGGACAAGGGAGGTTTTATAACGCATGTTGCGAAGGTTGCAGAGAACTTGGGACTGCAGAAGGATAGAGTGGTGGGGTTGGTGTGGTCTCCAGTTCAGGTTTGGAGGTTGCCTGAGCCTGAGGTTTATGTGGATTTGCTTGGTATGGATAAAGCGGCTGCTTCCAGGCATGTAAAGATGTATTTAAATGAGCAAAAATATGTTGTCAAAGTTTTCACTGATGGTTCTAAAGAAGAGCAGCCGCAAAGAACGGGTTTTGGAATTTATATCGCTCAGTTGCAAATTATGCAAAGCGTCCGTATTACAGACGAGCTGTCCATTTTTTCTGCTGAATTATTTGCTATATTGTGGGCACTGTGGTGGATTAAAAAACGCAATGTTTTACAAGCTGTTATCTGATTCTGCTGCTGCACTACTGGTCCTTAGGAGTATGGAGTCAGATGCCAGGCCAGATATGCTCTTGGAGATTTTGTGCTGTTTGAAACATATTGAGGATGTGGGTGCCTCTGTTTCGTTTGTTTGGGTCCCTGGGCATTCAGGGGTGGAGGGAAATGAAAAGGCTGATGCTCTGGCCAAAGAATCACTTCATAGAGACGCTATAGATTATCATCTTCATTTGGGGAAAAAAAGAGTGTTACAGCATTAGTAAAAAATATTTTCAAAGTCAGTGGCAGAAAGAGTGGGAGAGGGAGACCAGGGGGAGACTCTATTATTCATGTCAATCATCAGTCCAAAATAGTTGGCAGCCTGTAGCCGAGGGGCGTAGAGAGGAAGTGGTCCTCACTAGAATCAGACTGGGGCACTGTGGACTTGCAGCTTCTTTGTATAGAATAAGTAAACATGCAGATGGACTGTGCACTTGTGGGACATTGGAGACTGTTTCTCACATCTTGTTGTCATGCAGCAAATACTCCAAGGAACGACAACAACTATTTGTGGAATTGGCTGATTTGGGGCTAACTTCTCATTTAAGTCAATTTTTTCAAATCGTGAAAACACTCAAGGAGTTAACAGAGCCATTGTTTTATTCCTCCGCCGCACAGGCACTTTTTTGAGAATTTAGAGTACTGACGGTCTCATAACTGTGGAGAGCAGCATTGCGCACGCCAGCGTACAGCCTGCCGGAATTAATTAGAAGAAGAAGAAGAATCAGACATCCATCAGATACTACAAAATGGTCATGATGCTTGCTTAAAATCAAGTCCTAAATGGGTTGCAAGCACATTTACTCCCCAGCATGAAAGTTTCAGAGTTCAAAAGCACACAATATAATGATTACAAAAACTAACAAACTTTCTCCAGGTGGAAGAAAGTTTCATTTTGAATGAACACAAAAATATTGAGTATATTGATCATCTCCAAGTTAGTTTTGCTTTGAAAGGACACACAAATTTTAAGTAAATCCATCACTTCAAAGTAATAGTTTTGCTTTCTGTCAAATTGAATTTAATATTCTTTATTATTTAATAAAGAGCTAAAGTTGATAGTACTAAAAAAGGCTGATGGAACCTGTTATAGAATTTTTTTTGTTCCTGATTAAAGCAACACTTTTTGCAGTGTTGTGGACGGAAAACCCAAGCATAATTATGCCCAATACTAATGAATGTGAGTAAACTTCTGACCTCTCTCAATACTGAAGCATAGAGAGAAACTAACAAGTAGAAACTATTGCAATTCTGGTTTGGTCAGGGGGAATATAAAGCAGAGTTAGTCTTTTTAGAAGTCTGCATGTTTACAAAAGTATTGAGGTGAAAGAAATCCAAAAGCCAGACGGTATAATTCCCTTCGCTCTTTATCTCCGCAGCATTTCTTAAGACTTCTTATTGCTTATATCTTTTCAATGCCCATTCCCGCGCTATCGACACATCTATGTATACACGTTTCTCTGTGAGGAAACCAAAGCTGTGGAAAGTAGCTTAGCAAAACGATTCGAGATTGAAAATCCCACAGGAGAACACAGGGAGATGGAAATGCAAGGAAACATATGAGGAAAGATACTGCAGAATGAAAGACTGGACATGGCTTTTTGATACCTGCACACACTAATGGATATTGTGGCTATGTACAGTATGTAGGCCTGGGTCCAATTCAAAACGAGAAATTTCTAAATGATACAATTTTGTACACAAATTGAGGCTTCATGGCTTTCTCTATGGCTAATACATTAATATCTAATTAATTGTAGATTCATTCCTAAGTGAAAATATCAAAACAGTCAAAATAGTCTGACTCATTCACCGTTATCTTCCATGACTCATTCACTGTTAGCTTCCATGCCGGTATTCATTCAAAATAGTCAAAATAATACTGAAAAAAATTGAAATAAATTGGAAACAAAACCTGGATTAAAATTTAACCTAGAAAAACTATATGTATTTATAAATGGAAGAACAATATTGTGTCTAATTGTAAAAATATAAACATGTATTTGGACATATTAATTTTACTATAACTGATTTCCTTTCCACAAGCTTCTCACAATAGTAGTTGATTATTGTGATTTCCAGCAATAATGATAGTTGGAAATCTGGCCCATTACCTCTCTTCCTTGACTTGTATGGCATAAAAATCTGTGTCACTAGTTCCTAGCTCTAAAACATTTGCTAGTTTCCTTGTATATTTGGCCTCTGTCACATCTTTAGATCAGCTTTTTCAGACAGAAAAGTTAATAAGAGAGGACCACCCTCACTCAGCCAATCAGCTCTAAACCAAAAGAGTCAAAAAGTGACTCCCAGGGATCTTTCTAACAGATAACATTACATTACTAATGAGATGAAGACAGAGAGTTGTTGTTGTTTGACAACATTTTACTCTAACAAGACTCTTTCTAATGGAACAAACAGCATTAATAATTTGTTGGGGAAAGTTACAAACCCAAGCTTTAAAATGCCAAAAACCACCAAAACTCACCTTTTTTCAAGTCAATTTTGATCCTCTTCCCTCCTTTCTTGTTGGTCAGACCTGCCAGCACCGGTGCCACTGGGCTCTTACTTTGCACTTTGGGGGCTAGCGACTGAACAGCGCCACCAGCTGGAGGATCAGGGGACTGCCTCTCTGTAGACCCAACCACAGCCTGGACCTCTGGAGGTTCTGGAGTCCTGGTCTCTGGTCTCCTTAGGTCAATCTTGGGTTTGGGATTGGGATTGGGGTCTAGCGGCTGGGACCCGGCTCTGGACCGGACCACAAGGGGACTGGCTTTGGTCGAGGAGTCGCGGCTGTTGTCGGCAGTGAAGATGTTTCCAATCAGACTTTTCTCGTAGCGAGGTTTGTTGGCGGCGGAAAGGACTTCGCATCGAATGGTGGGAGCCGACATGGCCTGACGGAAGACCTCCTGAGATCTGAGGAGACAAGGACACATACAGTAGTGATCATCAGGACAGTAGTGATCATCAGGACAGTAGTGACCATCAGGACAGTAGTGACCATCAGGACAGTAGTGATCATCAGGACAGCAGTGATCATCAGGACAGCAGTGATCATCAGGACAGCAGTGACCATCAGGGCTGTAGTGTCCATCAGGGCTGTAGTGTCCATCAGGGCTGTAGTGTCCATCAGGACAGAAGCACAGGATTCAACAGTGACGTTGAATTAGTCAGTGCTCAAAATCTGCAATATTTACATAAATAACGGCAATAAAAATTATGCCAGGACTAAAAAAATTTGACATTTTTAGTCCTGGTCCTGTCTTGCCTTGCCTTACTCGACCCTACTCGACCCTACTCGACCCCACTCTACCCTACTCTACCCTACTCTACCCTACCCTACTCGACCCTACTCTACCCTACTCTACCCTACCCTACTCGACCCTACTCGACCCTACTCTACCCTACTCTACCCTACTCTACCCTACTCTACCCTACTCTACCCTACTCTACCCTACTCTACCCTACTCTACCCTACTCTACCCTACTCTACCCTATTCCATTACGCTTTAATATCTGGTACCGTCGCAAACCGTCGCACAACAAACCAGTATCCGAGGTTGGGCTGGGCGATATGGCAAAAAAGTAAAATCTCGATTTAATTTCCTGCTTTGGACGATTTTGATTTTAAATCAATTTTCATTTAAGTCATTGAAGACAGACTTTGCCTTAAAAGTATATTTTTATCTTTCCGCTCAATATCCGCTCAATATTCACGTTTCAAAACTATTTTTAATTTGTTTCCCCAATACGTATTATAAGTCTTGTACAGACTGTGCTGATTTTGCAAGTATAATTCATGTGCTGATGGAACTCTCACCATATCCTTCATTTGTTTTTACAATTTTCAAATTTTTCACATAAATTGCCTAAATTTGATTTATTGCCCAGTCCTAATCCGAGGTCTGAAAAATTTAGTACCAGCTTGGCCAGGACAGAACCAGGGCCAACAGGGACTAAAGAAGGACCTGGTACCAGTTTAACAGGACCAGTGGACACACTCAAAGTTGTGTTCCAAAACCTGCTTTGCACAAGAAAAAGAACAATGTATGTGTCTCTTCTGTCACTTTATCTTCCACATCTCTCCCTCTGAGGCCATCTCTCCAGAACCAGCAAACCCTTCTTTGATCTGTTATCACCCCCTTAAAAACTCCCGTTCACCCACATCCCTGTCCTGTCTGCAGAGGAGATGCACCACTGACAGAAGTCTATTAAGTGGTAAAGAAGTTCACGGAAGGAGAAAATCGGATAGGGGAACTGTAAATTATGACAAAGGCCTGATCTGGCTGAAAGGCTGGGTTTAAATTTAGATAGTTCGTTAATTTGATACCAGTATTGACAAAACCCTTAAGAGTCATAAAGTGCCTCACAGGGCTCTTCAGACAAAAGATGACATGTTTTGGTCTGATCCATTTTACTTTTACAAGACTTTCTCTCAAGACAGACATGTATTATTTATGAAACAAGAAATTTCAGGACACCAGCTTTAATCTCACATTATTGAAAAGGAAAAAAGTGACTCACTGAGCGAAGGTTTTGTCCAACAGCGACGTGTCGTTGATTTGAACAATACACTCGTCTTCACTGAACAGATTTTCTTTCTTCGATCGACTCGTCGCCTCAATGCCTCGAATGTGGAGACCCAGAGTCCTAAAACCAGCAAAGAAAGAGTTTAGTGTCTTGGCTTGGTCCTAGTTGGGTCCTAGCTGGGTCCGAGTTGGGTCCGAGTTGGGTCTGAGTGGGTAATTTTTTATCCTAAAAGACATAGCCAGGATCAAAAACATATTGTCTTAACAGACTTGAAGATCATTATCCATGCATTTGTCTCCAGTAGCTTAGACTACTCTAACGGCTTACTCACTGGTCTTTCCTAACGAGCTGTAAAACAGCTGCAGTATGTTCCAGATCGAGTCCTGACTAAAACCAGGATGTATGATCACATCAGTCCAGTCCTCAGGTCTCTGCACTGACTTCCTGTCGCTCAGAGACAAATCTGCTCTGCTTATAACAAGACTCTTCATGGCCTCGCACCAAAGTACATTAGTGACATGTTAGTACCATATGAACCAACTCAGACTCTGAGGGGCACAAGGACTGGTCATCTGCTGGTGCCCAGAGTCAGAACTAAACACGGGGAGGCTGAATTTCAGATTTATGATGCTAAAATCTGGAAAAGCCTTCCTGAAAATGTGAGACAGGCTCCTTCTCTGATGATGTTCACATCTAGGTTCAAAACAGTTCTGTTTAGCTGCAAACAGAGGGATTTTATCTTCGCTCTTTTTAATGTACTGTGATTATTAAGGATTGTAATGCCTTGGGTATGAATTGTGCTATACAAAAAAACACTCCTTGCCTAATTTGGTCCTAATTTGTTCCAGGACCAACAATAGGGAGTCATCCTTCAGGAAACCTGTCTTTCATAAAGTGAGAAGTTACCGTCCGCTGAGGGAGGAGGAGTAGGGGACGACATGGATCCCCAAAGGACCTTGGTTTCCAGCGAACTCCACCGTCTTAGTCAGAGGTCTGAAAACCAAACAGAAAACAACTTTAAATGTGATGTCACACATTCTTCTGGTCATGGATATTTTGCGCACAGAAGGTCATTGAAAAGCCCTGCGTCACATTGCATTATATTTGTCAATAACAAGTTTAATGACAAAAAAAGCATTATTTAACAAACAACGAAAATTGTGTGATAATTTCTTTATTACGTACTGCTACTACTACTATTGCAACTACTGCTGCTAATACTACAACTACTACTACAACTGTTGCTGCTGGAACTACTACTAAAATCATTGTCTTACAGTTAAAATATTGTCATTCAAATGTTATGAAACTCAGATTAATCAAATATTACAGTTGTCAGGGATGAAGCAGACAGAGACGGATCGTGGTGCGCCAAACTCTGGAAGTTTATTTAAGTTTCTCTCAAGTTCCAGTGGTTTACATTGTTTCCTTCTCTCAGACAAAAGTCAGTACACAGTTTATATAGTCATTGTCACGTCACACATCGAAAGACGTACGTGTCACACAGAGACAGTGCACATCATAGTCATAACAATCAGAGTCCTTGTAGAGTCCTGCACGTAGGCCATATTGCTATCTAATACTAACACAGTCTTCACACTGAAATTCACTGAAAAATATCTGAAACTGTGCATCCATAGAAGACGGTTCAGCCATAATAAATCTCTCTATTATTAATTCTTGTGACAGAGAGACCTGTGCTGACGCAGTATTGACCACATCACTTCTAAACTACAGTAATAACATGTATTTCTTGTATAAATATTTACTTCCACAGACTGTAGTCCATCTTTGTCCTTTTCTCGCTTCACAAACAGCCACTCATTTGCATTTGCCCGGTGGCGGCACTGATAAAACCAAAAGGAACCGGGTCGGGTCTGTGGAAGGGGGGACGCAGGTGGCTCCAACTGCTTTTATCAGGACTCATCTCAAACAAGCAATCTCCCACAAAAGAACGTGAGAGATAAAAGACAAGAGGAGAGCACTGGTCTCATCATGTATGCTTTAAAACTACAAATACTGTATGGCCAAAAAAAAGGCTTTTGATCCTGGGAAGATTGGAGAGATTGGACCAGATTCAAACAATTTTAATAAAACTTGTTGTTTAGACCTGTGTTTACTTTTAATCCCGGGAAAGACAAGACCAGAGGGAATCACATTATAACAGACTATGGCAAATTTCTCATCCAATGAGAAATTTGGTCTCTCTCCTTAAACATATTGTTTAAGGAGAGAGACCAGAGAGATAGACCAGAGAGAGAACTTATTTTTTACAACTTTATAAAGGAAAGAACAACACATGCAACAGCCCAAACTCTGACGGTGAGAGCTTCACTCACCCAAACAGAGCTCCGCGGCTAGTTACGCAGTCATTATGCAAAGTCCCTCGTGAGACCTACATGTAGACAATGGGCAGGAAAACATTTTTATTGTGTCTGACTTATCGCCATATTTGGTCAGAATGTTCCTAAAAAGACCAGGTTGCAAGGCGGGTTAAATGCTGTGTTGTGCTGACACATCAGCCCGTGTTGCTCAGTGTGAAAAGTAGAGACAACGCAGGGTTTTTGGTCAGTGGGAATGTACCTTTAGGTTGAAATATACAGCATTATTTTTGGGCATTCAAATTATAAGGAAACGGTTTACTTTGTCATTCATGTTTTAGAATGTAATAACAATATTTTTGTTATTAGGCCTGTAACTTTCTCGGCTCTCACCATAATGAGAACTTACTTACTTTTAAAGTTACCTACAGAAAACAGACCCTAACCTAACCCAAAACTAATTTATAGACAAGGTGGCTGAGTGGTTACAGCTCTTGCTTCTCAGCATGAAGGTTCTGGGTTTGATTCCCGGTCGGAACAGGGCCAATCTAAGTAGAGGTTGCATGTTCTCCCTCCTGTGTCTGCATAGGTTTCCTCTGAGTGCTTCAATTCCCCTTATAAAAGCATAGACAATAGACAAGGTGCTCAAGTTCTGGTCCTGTCCGAGCCGAGCCTCAATATCTGGAGATGGGTAACCGGGCACTTCATTTTGGCGAGCACAGCTAAAGATGGGTCAAATGCAGAGGACAACGTTCCCAATGGGGACAATAAGATATAACTGTTACAGGACTGAGACAGGAGCTTTTCAACAGAGGGGCCGCAGTTCCTGATGGATGGATATAAAACGTTATGTCTATTTTGCATCCTACGCTCTTTTAAAAGTCTGAGAACCAATCTGTTTACGTCTCTCCCCAGTGTAAACCTGAACCAAAAGCTAGGTGTATCTGGTGTCATTACTGTACCATATTATCCCTGTCCTTTCCTTCTCATTAACCTCCACCTACACACACAGACGCGCGCACGCGCACGCGCACGCGCACACGCACACGCACACGCACACGCACACGCACACGCACACGCACACGCACACGCACACGCACACGCACACGCACACGCACACTCACACTCACACTCACACTCACACTCACACTCACACTCACACTCACACTCACACTCACACTCACACGCACACGCACACGCACACGCACACACACACCAGTTTACACATATTCAAACTGTTATTACTACATCTACTCTCTCCTCACAATCTCCATCCTTCACTCGGCACAAATTGAATTCAAATACACTGGGCGCATTGCATTTACATCCATTACCGCTAAATTACAGTGGCAAGGTTTCAGCGCAGCGGGACCAAAATGCTAAATTAACTTTGGCTAATGGTAAACAAGCAGAGGACAAAGACAGGGAAAGTCACGGCAAGATCTCTGCACATTTAAATTCAAATCAGAGCACAAGAAAACGGGATATTTCTACATTTTTACAAAGCTGTTTAAAAGTGGAACGTGAGATGGCTTTAGGGACATAAACACAAAAGGATCATTTAATAGTAAAACATACAGACAGAGTGCTTGCAAATGTATTATACACTTGAACTAGTAGTAGTTTAGCAGTATTTAGTAGCAGTAGTAGTTTTAGTTAGTTGTAAAAGGAGTAGTAGTAGTAGCAGTAGTAGTATTAGTAGTATCATTAGTATTAGTAGTAGCATTAGTATTATTAGTAGCAGTAATATACTTTAAATAATAATTTCAGAGCATATTTGACAATGACATAAATGTAGTAGTAGAGTCAATTTTGGGGTTGGCAGCATCACGTTGTGGGACTGCTTTTCTCCAAAAAAAGACAGGGAAGATCCAATAATGTTGTTCCAATACAAGACATTATTTGAAGGAAAACTCCTGAAGCTGGGGATTCCACACAGTGTTAACCTGTGTTGTAGGAATACCTATGCCCTGTGAGTCACTTTTTGACTCTTCGGGGTGAGAGATGATTGGCTGAATGAGAGTGGTCCTCTCCCCCCCATATTTGACACTACTAATACTTCACATGATCAAAGATGTTATGAAATTACTGCTAATACTACTACTACTTGACGACTGCTGGTGCTTCTACTAAAACTTCTGATGCTGCTATTGCTGCTATACTACTGCTAATGCTTCTGCTACCGCTACTATTGGTGCTACTAATATTACTGATACTACATCTGCTGCTGCAGCTACTACTTCTGCTACTACTGTTACCTCCTCTCCAACAACAAAGGGAAAATATCAGTAATCATAATATTATGTTTGATTTGCGCATATGTAATTAATTAATACATGAATACTGAAAGCTGAAAAGTCAAAGTGTCTGATGTGTACATTCTCATCACATTTAAATAAAAAAACAAACAAAAATAGCATCGCAGACAGCCTCATTAAAAGTCAACCTAGGCTCGTTAGCGACGCAGCATGCTAACGTGGAGAATAGTTCCCATTTTAGTGTCCCACCGAGAAACACAAACAACGCAGCTGGAAGTGACGGAGGGAGACCTAAGGAAGCGGTGAGGCAGATGGCAGTCCAAAAAACAGAAATAGTGGATTTTGCTTCCTGGTGTGCCATCTGGTTACACTGTCCTGTTGGAACATACAGTGATGGTTTGGATTTAATTATAAGACAAAACACCCACAAAGTCTTCCTGGTCTCCCTCTCTACACCCTGGTCTCTCTCTCTACACCCGGGTCTCTCTCTCTCCTCCCTGATCTCTCTCTCTCCTCCCTGATCTCGCTCTCTCTCCTCACTGGTCTCGCTTTCTCTCATCACCCTCTCCCTGCTATCAACAAAAAATCCACTCAAATTCACATAAATACAACTGAAACAGGTATTTTGCTTCAATTTTGGATTCAATCAGAAAAAAACAGCTTAAAAAAATAAAAATGTAAAACTGGGAAGTGGCTTATTACTTTCTCAAACGCTTTTAGTATCTTCAGTCACCACAACGGCCATCACTGGTCTCTTTTGCCCTTTCTCTGGTCTCTCCCACCATCTCTCTGGTCTCTCTCGCCCCCTCTGGTCTCTCCCACCCTCTCTCTTGCTCTCTCTCTGGTTTCTCCTGCCCTCTCTCTGGTTTCTCCTGCCCTCTCTCTGGTCTCTCACTGTCCTCTTTCTCACTCGCCCCTCCCTCTAACCTGTCTCTCTCTCCTCCCTCTCTTTCCCCTGCTATCATAAAAATTCCACTTAGGACTGAGACAAATAGGACAGAGATTGTGATTTAAAATCAATAAAATACAACTTTTTCACAAATGATAAAGAAATACCAGCATTCTACGGCTGAAGAGAATTTTGTATACACATTATATACACATTTATAACGTTTGCTTCTGCATATTTTAAGGATTCCACTGTTTTACATGAGAAAACTTTGCAGAAAGAAGCCTTAATAAATAAAAGAGAATCTACTGTCAGGTTTTGTATTGGTCACAAAGGGGGAACAGAAATAATTGTTAACATTTTTGTAATATTTATAATGGGACCTCAGCACAAGCTTTCATTTAATATGTACACTCCCCAATTAATGCCAAACCATCACTCAGCTCATGAAATATAAATAAAATATGTCTGCTTTGATTGCTGCAGGGCCATCTGTCTGTGTGGTCCCATTAAAAAGCCCAGTGCTGGTATAATGGTGGTGAATGGGAGACACCATCTGTCACGCACTCCAATGGTCCTGTTTGGTTAATACAAGGACAAATACCAGGAAATGTCAATAGATTATGGACGAGACAATAGTGTATGTCATTATGTCAAGGTGAGACAGAAAGAATTTTAAAGTGAAAATGTATTTGAAGCTTTTGGAATTTCTCACATTTATGCATAAAATCACCATCAACCAAGATCTGATTATTGTTAATATGGGCTCTCATCTGTATGGAAGGGCCTTAAAGCTGGGATACATAACTTTTAAAACCCTATTTTAAAATCCATGTCTCGAGTCACTGACTCAAAAACAGCAGACCTGGTTGAGACTGGTTTAAACATAGTACACACCTGCTTTAGTCCTGCTTTAGACTTACTTTAGTCCAGCTTTGGACGTGGCTCGGGGCCTGGCTCGGGCCTGGCTCGGCCTTGGTTTAGACCTGGTTTAGACCTGGTTTAGGTTTTATCAGATTTTTATTATTATTTCTAGCCTCTTCAGCGAGAAAAGTAGGACCACCCTGACTCAGTCAATCAGCTCTCGGCCCAAAGAGTCGAATTGTGACTCTTTCTTATACAAAAGATGTTTTCTACTGAGATGGAGACAGGATGATATTACTTACTTTAACGAGACTCTTAATATTGAGACGAAACATATATTATTGAGGGTGGAAAAAGTTAGTCCCCCAGCTTTAATCTTGGTAATTTCTATATTCAAATAATGTATGGCTTTTATAGGTTGTGTTCATGTGACATCACATCCGGTTTTCACTAGTGCTGAGAAAACACTGGGCCAGACCTGACCTATAGAACTGCTGATTCTTTGGTGGTACATTCTTTCACATGCGTCTTGTACTAAATCCTTTTCCCCAACAAAGCGGCTACCACCCCCACAGCAGTTACACTATATTGTGTGGAGTAGGGAGTAAACAGCAAGAGGATAATGAGTTTAAATGCATAAATCAGAATAAATAAAACATAGCAGCAGTCGAACTATTTTCAAAAGACTTGTTTTTTATTAAAGCTATTGTTTTGGTGCAGAGAGAAAACCTCTTCTGTCAAATTTACTCATTAATATTTAATGCGATCCATATGAATTCTGTGAATACATCTTCACAGGAAATGGATAACTGTCCCAGAGTAGGCTCGCTCCCTAAGGGGTGAGAAACTCTATTTTGATGTTTTAGCACTAAACACTGGTCCCTGGTTTATCGCAGGAGTGATGTGTTCTAATAGTAATCCACAATAAGTGAGATCTTTGAAGTAGCAGCAGTAAGTTAAGGCTGTAAAACCCTCCTACACACTTGAAGTCACCACTGCTATAGTGAGAGAGACCAGAGAGAGACCAGAGAGAGACCAGAGAGAGACTAGAGAGAGACAAGAGAGACTAGAGAGGGACCAGAGAAAGACCAGAGAGAGACCAGAGAGAGACCAGAGAGGGAGTAACCAGAGACCAAAGGGACAGACCAGAGGGAGATAATTTATCTTGTGCTGTGTGCTCTTCTGTCTGTAACTTGTGATGCAACACTGAAATGTCTCCACTTTTGGACAAATAAAGGATTTCTTAAGCTTAATCAGAGAGAGCAGCACTTTGAGTTGCCTTGTGTATGAAATTGTGCTATACAAATAAACTTGCCTAGAGAGAGAGACCAGAGACATATGAGAGAGAGCAGAGAGAGACCAAAGACCAGAGAGATATGAGATGGAGACACGAGAGTAACTAGAGAGATAGAGAGAGACCAGAAGGAAGTGTCAGAGAACAGGACCAGCGAGCAAGACTGTAGAGAGACGAGAAAGATAATTCAGTGTGAGAGAGAGCGAGACCAGAGAGGGAGAGAGAGACCAGAGAGACCAGAGAGAGAGACCAGAGAGCGAGACCAAAGACTAGAGAAAGAGTTAAAAAAATGGAAAAACACAGGACTAGAATCTGACTTTTGACACTTTCCTCCATGTGAAACTATGTATATTCTTGCAGTTATCATGGGCTTGTATTCAGCTCATAAACTTACTTCTGTTGCAGCGGGCTCATCCTGGACTGTTGCTCCTCCACTCTCAGCCTCTCAAGCGCTCCCTTCAACACATTATTCACCTCCTGCGGAAAGAAAACAAGGCGGCAAATTCAACTCACCACCAATTAGCGCATTACATCACGCTTAGCATCCACGCCGCTAACAGAGACTAGCAACAACTCCACTAACAGCATGTGACGTTTTCAACCTGCTGTGCTACCATCGTTCTCTCTCTCTCTCTCCTCCCCCCTACTAAAGCCACGGAAAAGCAGCATCCCCCAGGCTGTGTGTTTAAAATACACGCACGCAAATTGAAGACGAAAGAAAGCTGTAAGAGGAGCTACAAAATGCTATACATTTTTTGGCAAACTCGTCCTCAAATCACTTACAACAACGCAGTCCAATTAGTCTGCTCCCGGCTTGTCACTTACATTGTGTCACTAATAGCTCTTGCGTTCCCGCCCACTAGCTAGCCGGCGTCTTTGGAGAGAAAAGAAAGGAAATCTCTTATTCCCCAGGGTTGAGAGCCCACTCCAATCAACAAAACACACTCGAATTAGCATGTATTAAACGCACACGGCCAGGCAGTATCAGTAGGTATGGAGATGGAGCCGGGAAAAAATGCTGTGTTTTGGGAAAGAAGAGAGAGGAGCGGGGAATAGCGGTGACCCAATTTTGCGTGAGATTACCCCAGAAAGAGAGCTCTTGCGGGGGTAGTGTGTTAGCGGGATGGCTGGTTCTTTTGTTGTTGTGCATCACGGCATTAGTGTGTGTGATGCGTAGCCTATAGGGATGTATCTTTGACAGGTAGACAGATAAAACCGCTGTGTGTAGTCTGTCGTGGAGGGTTTGGACAAGGGAAGAGAGAGATAACGCTCAAGAGCAGAGAGAGCTGAGAGCTGGTTAACTATTGTCTTTTAAGCTCAAAATATCTGGTATACAACTGGTTACAACAATTTATCCTGATGTTTTGTCCTGCTTAAAGCTGTGGTCCTCAATCTTTTTGTCTCGTAAATTCATAGTTCATGTATTTATTTATTTCAATTGCGGATATGACAATACAAAAAACATTGTAGTCCTGCCACACAAATTAAGAGAAAAAAACATTAGACCTGCTTTAGTCCCTATTATAGACCAACTTTAGTGCCTACTTTAGACCCATTTCAGTCCATATAGATCTAGTTTAGTCCCACATTTAGACCCATTTCAGTTCCTACATTAGATCTAGTTCAAGTCCCTACTTTAGACTTGCGTTAGACCTAAGTTAAAACCTGCGTTAGACCTGAGTTAGACCTGCGTTAGATCTGCATTAGACCTGCATTAGACCTGCGTTATACCTGCGTTATACTTGAGTTAGACCCGAGTTAGACCGGCTTTAAATTTGGTCTACAGAAGCAGAAAGACAAAAACGTTTGCATCTATATAGATTTTTTTTTTTTTTGGTGTAAGAAAGGAACCTGTGAGTCATTTTTTGACTCAGTGAGATGTGAGGGTGGTCCTTTCTTTTTGACTTTTCTGTCATGTGTGACAGAGGCTAAAAAATACATGAATACTACTACTGTTATTGCGACTGCTACTGCTACATGACAAAGGATTTTAATATATATCTTTGCGGTTTAAAAGTTACATTCTCACTGGTATTTTTCAAATGACAAATGGTGCTTGTTCTATTATCACATTTCTTGTCATTTTTTGCAGTGGGGGGATATAGCAGTCTTGTGTTTTTGAAATTGCATCTTGAGCTTAATTCTAGCGTGATCTAATTCTCATGTAACCAGACAAAAACAGCAGCTTGAAGGCTTTGCGCTCGTCCAATTGGAACTCTCCATTCGGCCTCGGCCAATCAGACGGCTTGTTTTGGTCCCGTTATCTCAGAAAGAGGATGTATAGAGCTCTCCATCATGTTATGTCACCTCAGCTGTAAGCCACAATTTTGAATTATTAATGTTAGAAAGGCTAGACCAGTGCTGCGCAAGCTAATAATGTATATTTACTGCCTCTAACTCGTTCTGGTCCCTCTCTTTCTCTCTAGTCTCTCTCTCTCTGGTCTCTCTCTCTGGTCTCCCTCTCCAGTCTTTCAACAGAGTCAACTGAATCTGAGGCTTTGGTGGCCTTTATGAATTAGCACAAGGATATTCAAATTAATCTCGGGCCTGGACTAGAAGCCATTTGAGGTTGTTCAATAATGACTAAACTCTGTCTTTGTATTAACGCCATACATATGACTAAAACATCAAAAATAATTGGCAAACATGACTGGACTGAGGTGTGGTGTGTTTTCTCTGTGACAGTGTTGTGGAACAGCCTGGTCCTGTCCCTGTGTACGAGCAGGTCAGACGAACATGGTGTGGATGTCAGGTTGTTGTGGTCTCTGTGGACAGATTCGGCATGTGTTACACTGACAGGAAAGACCCCATTAAAGCTGAGGTATATAACTTTGTGACATAAATAAGCCATGTTTGTCCTGACAGAAAGAGCCTTGTAAAAGTTAAAAGTTGTGAACAATTCATGCTGTCTTCATTAATGGTGGAAATTGGCAAAAATGTAACGATTTGATAATTGGGCCACAATCTAATATTATTGCAATTCTTACGATTTGATTCTGCGATGAGTTGCGATTCATGTCCCTCATATTTAAAGGCATTAAAAAAATAGAGGAAAATAAGACTTAACTCAAATATCACAGTTATTGTGGTCTGCACCTTTCGCTGAAGTGCAAAAACACATTGTGTAGAACTGGTTGTGATGATTTTCATTTGAATTTGTTGTTCAATAATGCACAAAAACAAACCACTGAAACCACCGCCACCTTTTGGATGTAAAACGCAAATCTAAATTACCAGAGTAAACTCAAGAGAAAAAACAAAAGTAAAACAGATAATGATTTAACTAAATATTGCAATACTTTATTCTACTGTATCAACGCAATTATGTGCACAAAGTATTGTGTCACTGAACAGAATCGATTTACCCCCACCAGAATCAAGTACCCCAACTTTTAAATCCATCCATCTTCCCCTGCTTAGTACGTTCCCATGTCGCAGAGGCAGCAGTCTGAGCAGAGACGGCCAGACTTCCCTCTTCACACACACCTCCTCCAGCTCATTGGGGAGTCCCTTAGTAGTCGTAGCATTAGCATTCATATAACCTCTGTCAGACGGCAAAACACATCTACCATATTTGTCTATATGAGCGAAAGCGCTTATGGACATTGACTGATGGCGGAAAACGTGCCATGATCTTAAAACATTACAGAAAATCAATAATATTTCCACTGGAGTATTGGAATGGAGGCGTGGCCGCAACGATCTGTATATGTGTACGTAGCTCATCAATTAGCTGAAGTGGTTTCAAACACAATAAAGCCGAGAGGGAGCCAACGGAAGAATCTAATATAGGTGCATCATACATGACTGTAAAATAACAGCCATAAAGATACACAATGTAACCATATGTCAGAGTACAATCTGAGCTAAGAACACAAGACGTGTGTGAGAAAAAGATCAGAGAGAGAGAGAACAGTGAGAGAGACCAGACAGTGAGACCAGAGAGTGAGAACACAGAGAGACCAGAGAGAGAGACCAGAAAGAGAGAACAGAGGGAAAGAGACCACAGAGAGACGATAGAGAGACCAGAGAGAGACAAAGACCAGACCAGAAAAAGTGGAGAGCGAGAACAGAGAGAAACCAGACAGAGAGAAAGAAATACCAGAGAGATACCAGAGAGAGACCACAGAGAGAAAGAGAAACCAGAGACCAGAGAGCGACTACAAAAAGAGACAAGAAAGAGAGAGACCATAGAGAGAGAGGCCAGAGAGAGAGACCAAAGAAAGAGACCACAGAATGACCACTGAGAATGTGAGCATTTCTATGGTCTTTCCTTCTCCTATATCTCTCTCCTGTTTCTCCCGTGTCCTTGCTCAGTGCTATCTCCTCTCTCCTCTCTCTGTCGCTCTGTCGAGTGGCCGACTATAGAGATCCAGATAAGGTCTAATTAGAGCCAGAGCAGTGATAAATTTGCGGCCTTCCCCTCTCATTGATTTTGCTTCCTGCTCCGTGAAGGCTGTGGATAGTGTCTTTACTCTCAGCCTGGAGGATTAACATGTCGTGCCCTCGTCTGACAAAGAGCTGAGTCGACGAAAAGCGAAAGATAAAGACTCTATAGAATTAGAACGTGGAGATGAAAGAGGCAGAGAGAGTAATACACATACAGCGGAAGTTTTAGGTTTAGGTTTGGGTTTGGTGAATAGCTTTGAATAGGAAATAGTGGGGAGACATGTATTTAAGATTAATTAAGAGACTGTGGGATTGTTTGTCACAATGTGGGGAAATGTCAGTGTTGCATCACCAGTTACAGACCAGTAGGAATGAGGAGCACACAACACAAGATAAATGAATAATAACTCTATACTAAAATAAGATTACAAAAAATCTCTAACTTAGCATACTAAAGAAGCAAGTGTAAAACCCTGTATATTATAGTGCAGAAATATATAGTTGTATGTTTATATCTGTACATGTTAGCAGCATGAGAGTATGGACCAAGTAAAGTGACAGTAACACATGTGTGGTCTCTTGCTCTCTCTTTACTCTTCCTCTCTCTCTCTCTCTGCTCTCTCTCTCTCTCTGCTCTCTCTCTCTGGTCTGCCCAACTACTACTACTGCTGGAGAAACAATCCAGATAATGAGTAATGCATCCAATCTTGCAAATAATTTTGAAATATTTGGATCCTTCAAATATGCCTCACAACGATTGGCTTTAATCATAAGAAACCAATAAGAGCTGTTTGTAAATTTCAAGGCAAAAAAGGCAAGGCAAGATAAGATTATTTGTATAGCACAATTCATACACAAGGCAACTCAAAGTGCTGAACAAAATAAGATAGCATTAAAATCATAAATAATCACAGTAATCACAGAGGAGGCCTGTCTCACATCTTCAGGAAGATTGTTCCAGATTTTAGCAGCCTGAATCCGAAAAGCTGCCTCCCTATGTTTAGTTCTGACTCTGGGCACTAACAGGAGTCCAGTCCCTGTGCTCAGAGTCCGGGCTGGTTCATATGGGACTAACATGTCACTAATATATTTTGGTGCGAGGCTATAGAGAGACTTATACACAAGCGGAGCTGTTTTAAAGTCTATTCTCTGAGCCACAGGAAGACAGTGCAGAGACCTCAGGAAGTTGTTTTGCATCCACTCACTGATCTGTTGGATACAGTGAAGGAGTGAGTCCACTGGTCCATGTTCTCCTGCAGTCAGTGAGACATAGATCTGAGTGTCGTCTGCATAGTTCTGATAGGACACTTCGTTTCTGCGTATTAACTGACCTAACGGCAGCATGTAGAGCTTGAACAGAAGGGGTCCCAGGATCGACCCCTGTGGTACTCCACAGATCAGGGCCATATGATCTGAGACACAGTTTGCAATCTCCACAAAGTACTTCCTGTCTTCAAGGTAAGACCTAAACCAACTTATGGCGGTGCCAGCGACGCCAACTCAGTCCTCTAGTCTCTGTAAGAGGATCTCATGGTCGACAGTGTCAAAGGCAGCACTCAGATCTAACAAGATTACGATTGAGACTTTGCCTGCGTCAGTGTTTAGCCGGATATCGTTTGTTACCTTGACATGGGACAATAGTTGTTCAGTACCGTGGTATCCAGACTGCTCTTTTTTAGCAGGGGCCTGATGACTGCAGTTTTCAGGGTCTTTGGGAATATTCCAGAATGAAGGGACATGTTTACTATCTGTGCGAGTGAAGGTAACAGACTGCTCAGAACAGACTTTAGAAATCTAGTGGGTAGTACATCCAGGTTGCATGTGGAGGAGCTCAGACTTGTGATTATCTCTTGGACAGTTTTATCATCTACAGGTGCAAAGTGAGTTAGCTCAAAGATGCCTTGAAACTTGTCATTGAAAAACTGTGCTAACTCATTGCATTTAGGTTTGGAAGTTAGTTCTAATGGTAGCTGAACAGGGGGGTTTGTTAATCTTATAACTGTTGAAAACAGTTACTGTTTTTGTTACTGCAGCCTTCAATCATTTCAGAAATATACCTTTCTCTCGTACTACGTAGCACCCGGTTAAACTCGCACAACTTATCTTTGAAGATCTCGGTATCAACCTGGAGGTTGGACTTGCGCCACTTCCGCTCGGCCCTCCGGCACTTTCTCTTCTGTGCCCTGACCGAGTCTGCTTTAGCCCACGGCGCCTTCTGCTTATTTTTCACTATTTTAACATTCACAGGGGCAACGGTATCCAGAACATTCAAAACACTAGAGGTGACAGAGTTAAACAGTTCATCTAGAATACGATGCATTTTCAAAGTTTATCATTCCCATAAATAGTTCACCCGTATTTTCATTTATGTGTCTTCTTCAAACACTTGCAGAGTCCACTGGTGGTTTGTTAGTGAAGGAAAAGGTTTCCTAAGAACCGCATAGCAACCAAAGAGCCAATCAGGAGCGAGTCAAGCCCCTTCCCTTAACCATAAGGGATTGAAGGCACGAAAAATACATGGAATCTTACAGTCAGAACCAGTTTAATACCTGGTAAACCTTATTGTGTTGAAATAAGGTTCAATCTCTATCAAAGTTGTTGTCACTGCCACTACCACTACTATTACTACTACTACTTTGCTTCTAGTATTGAGTGTAAAGGACATCTTTATCTGGGTCCTTCTACACTGTCACGCTGTTGGAAGCCGCAGTCCTGGTCCTGATAGACTTGTATTGATCAGTCAACTCGGCTGGTCCACTTCACGCCTTTACAACTCCCTTATCTCTCCTCTCTCCCCTCTCCTCTCCTCTCTCCTTTCCGATTTCTCCTTTCTCCTTTCTGCTCTCTGCTTTCCCCGATCTTCTGTCGTCTCTGTGGACCTGAGCTGACGTGTTTAGAGAGTTGTCTGTTCCGTTCATTTAGAACCAGTGTGTAAGCTGTCTTCGTAAAGTTACAACTGCTTCTCCTGCTACTGATACTGCTGCTAACACTAATGCCGTGAGTAATATTGCACTATTACTACTTACTATTGCAACTGCTAATATTAATTACTAATTTATTATTTCAATTATTGTGTGTGAATTGTGGTATACAAATAAACTTCCCTCGCCTGGGTACCTTCAGAAAGCAATATTCATGTTGAACCTCAAAACTTCAGATCTACTTTTGATGAGGAAGAATGTTTGTCTTTAACACTCATATCGTTGCTAGTACCTTCACACAACTAAGAATACATTGGTTCTGTGTTACATACCAATTCTGAGTCCAGGGGAGGAGGAGAATGTTTTATTGTACAAGTATAATGTACGGCGGCCTGTTTGGACAAAAGGCTCTTGAAAGGGTTCTTAAGTGTAGCCTCGAGGTTCCAAACATAAGAAACTCGTGTAATGGACATGGAATCTCATTCAATTTCAGACTCTCTCATTCAGATAACAAGTGCTTGAGTTTTTCACTAAAAATGTCACTAAAAATCTAGAAAGAGATCAGAGAGACACCAGAGAGACACCACAGGGAAAGACCAAAAAGAGAGACCAAAGAGAAACCAAAAGGGGGACCACAGAAAGACCAGATAGAGAAACCAGAAAGAGACCACAGAGGGAGAAACGAGTGATCACAGAGAGACCAGAGAGAGAGACAAGAGTGAGAGACCTGAAAGAAAGAGAGCAGAAATTGTTTGGAGAGCAAGGAAAAGTACTTGTGCAATGCAACTGTATGCAAGTAGATTTATTGTTGTGAAAATATCAACCTTCTGCATGGGGTGAGAGATAAAAGAGTAGTTGTGGGGCGATGATCCATTCTGTTTCATACCACCATATTTTGTCTATGCAATTAAATTAATACAATTGAAAAAAAGTATTGCAATATTTCATTACATTTCTGATTAAAAAAATAGTTTAGTTAGTTTACATCCACAAGGTGGCACTTGTTGCAGTGCTTTGTTTTTATGCATTCATTCATCAGAAAGTTCAAAGGAAGTTTTTGCACATCAGGTGAGGTAAAGGTAAAGGTGCACTTTATTTTTCCTCGTAGTGCAATTTCTCCTCTGTATTTGACCCATCCTGATGCCGCTAAGGCTTCCGCAAGGAGCAGTGGTCGCCGTAATAACAGCGCCCAGGGACCCATCTCCAGATGTTGATGCTCGGCTTGGCCACGACCGGAGTTGTACATGTTTTTAGTGTGCAGGCCGTAATAAATGTGACATTTTTGTTGAGTGTTAATTTCCTCAATTCATGTGATGCCTCTGAATAATATCGCAATTTGTCATGAATTGCAACAAAAAATGAATTGTGGCCCAAATATTGAATTTTTGACCATTCACTCACATAATATTGTAAAAGTGATTTTTTGTCATTCAAATTGAAATCTCAAAACACTTTATCCTTAAGGGGTTTAATAAAATGTTTTGAATTTTGAAATGTACAATCAGATCTGAAGTGTGCAAGTGTCTTACTGGTTCCGGAGTGCCCTGGCTGCGGTCGTCTGGAGGCGGTGTGGCTCGGATGAAGATGGATGGAGCCAGGACGGAGTCACTGCTGCTTCTCACCAACAGTGGAGTGTCTGTAGAGCGAGAGGGGAGAGAGGATAGAAGGCTGTAATGAGTGCTTTGTAGGTTGTAAGGGAACATGTATATAAAAAAAAAAAAAAAAAAAGGTTATCTTATCTCTAATTTATTAAAGAGAAGAGAACCTTTATTCGTCCCTAGGTGGGGAAATGTCGATGTTACAGCGCACAAACAGGACAGTAGTAAGAGCACACAACATATACAGAGATAAGTAGGTGCGATGCATAATCTTAGCTAGCTGTAAATGCTTCATAACAGCAGCAAGTAAATCTCAATATATCTCAAAATATATATATATCTACACACATATATATATATTAGTCATTATCGGAAATTAAATACCGACAGGGCGTAGCAGTCTGCTTCCGCCCTGAAGGTAGCTAGCTCCAATAGCTTCTCTCGCAGAGACAGTAGTAGCGGAGTAATCTACAAATCTGAATTACAAGCAGAGGGTGCGTTGCCATGGGCAGCGGCCGTTATTGTTTTGAGAGGTTGGTTATTGAGAAATTATATATATATATATATATATATATATATAAATCATGGTCCAGAAAGTCGGGTCAAAAGACAGAGGATCAAGTGACTTTCATGCAATAATAATGAATTCCTGAGTCTTTTTATTCATGCTTTGTATTTATATTGTATATAATAAAACAAAATTCATTTAAATAATAATAATTCCTCAGTTTTACAAAGTCATTTTTCAGACACTCAAAGATACTTCACATGACATTATTCATTCACTCCATACACGGTGGTGATAAACTACAACTGTAGCCACAGCTGCCCTGGGGCACACTTACAGAAGCGAGGCAACCAGTATGTGCCATCAGCCCCTCCCACAACCAACCATTCACACACACACCAGACTCATTCGAATGTAGGTGAAGTGTCTTGCCTAAAGACACACTCACAATTTGGCACTTTACAGCCGCAGCCGCCCCACTGTGGCACCTGTTGTTCCTTAGGGTCTCCCATTACATCACAAACCAGGCCCTGTCCTGCTTAGCATGTGGGTAAGCAGGGCACATGCTCACCTACATGCTAAGCAAAATAATAATAATAACTTAAAGGAGCTATACCCGTTTCTGCAAGGTTTGAATGTGAACCTCCCCCCCCCAACTCGCTCACAGGTCCCTCATTTCCCCTACGCTCCCACGGAGCCATAGTTTTATTTGCAATCTGATACATATGCAAACATTAGCATGAGCGCAACTTCTTCTAAGCTGTACAACAATCACTGATGAAATGGTACAAAAGCAACGCAGTGCTAACAAAATGTATAACTGAAAGATCATCGCTAGTTTTGAATACTTAATCATAATTTGGCGGCACGGTGGCTGAGTGTATAGCACTCTCGCCTCTCAGCAAGAAGGTTCTGAGTTCGAATCCCGATCGGAACAGGGCCTTTCTGAGTGGAGTTTGCATGTTCTCCCCGTGTCTGCGTAGGTTTCCTCCGGGTACTCCGGTTTCCCCTACCACTAAAAACATGTGCAATAGTTCAGGGTGAATGATTGAGTGTGTGCTTGTCAGTGCGAATGTGGGACAACGGATGCAAAGTAGCCCAAGGCTACAATCCGGAGTGATGTGTTCATTAACATGTACTGTCCCAACCAAATAAACAATAAATATACAGCTCCTCACAGCAGCAGTAGAACCCTCCATCGATTTGAATGTAATTGCAAAACGCCCTACCGATCATTATATCTTGATAACAGAACGCAATCCCTGCTTGTAATTCATGTGTGTAAAATACTAACATTACTCCGCAAGTACAACGAGCTTTCAGCGCCTGTCACTACTTCTACTATATCTATGCACGCTCAATAAACAAATATCAATCAATCAACACCTTTAAATGTTAATCGGGGAATAAAATATACATATAAATTCCTAACACACATGCACAGAGGTTTTCAGAATTATCTGTTAACGTTTTCATGACAAAAATACTGTTTTAATGTGACAAAATGCGATTGCGATAAACCCGGAAGTAACCATTAACATGAAACTAACCATTTAAGACACATTTGAAGAGGATCTGATTATGGCATTAGGTTCAGTATATAAATGGGTAACTCACCGCTGATGTTCAGAATTCTTTGTTCAGTTTTCATGGGTTAGGGTTAGGTTGCCCGCCTAGCACGTCACGACAAAACCTTTGGGAGCTAACTATTTTATTTGCAGTCATTAAATACATTTCGAATATTAAGGGCTGTCTAATATTCGTTTGAATATATATACTGTATATTTTTTTAATGTTTTAATTATATTCGAGCATTGAATATAATTCCTCTAGCCAGCGCTATAGAGGCTAGAGGACGCAGCCTGTTCGCTCCTCGTTCTGTGATTGGAGGAGAGCTAGCGTCAAGTTTCTACTCAGCACTTTTTACGGCCGGAAATCATACACAAGCTGAATCAATGAGCTCAAGTTTTCAATTAAATTACGGATTATAATACAACTTGTATGTAGTAATAAGCATTTTTATGAACTCATCAGAAAAAAAAAATTGGGTATAGCTTCTTTAATTCATTCATTCATTCAATAAATTAAAAAATTATGAACAAAGAAAAAAAATCTTGCAAAAAAATTATATATATAAAACATATTCATTAACAAAAACAAAAACAATAATAATAGTAATAACAATAGGCCAAAAGTTGCACAAAATGAAATAATACCAGCTATGAAAATACAATGTTATGTTAGAGTCTTGTATATTAAAGAAGCTACACCCGATTTTTTTTCTAAGTAGTTGATAAAAATGCTTACAGTTTTTCTCTATTGCTTAAACACATTTCACAATACTGCCCTCCCTTTTCTCAAAACTCTAAACACAAACCTCTTTTCGAAAGCTACGTACACACAACAACACAGTCTCTTTTCAAAACCGACTCATCACACCAAAACAGTTTCTCATATTCTCAGAACCAACCCATCACACCAAAATACCTCTTATGGTCTGCAAAAATGTGAGCACTATGAGCATCATTAACCACATCACCAAAACAATTGAAAAAACTATTTTCAGAATGTGAGACTGTTCTTTTTACAGTATCACACCTGCCAGGATGCATTTGAGCAGCACTTTTTTATTCTCAAATATATTTTGGCCATTTACTCTAGATTTGTGCGTTTTATGAGAATAGTGACAAACTATGTAACCCCTCACGGGGAGCGCGCGTGACCGTGGGACACTTGTTTTTTTATGTACGTGGAACTGGATTCCACGTGCTCTGGTGCTGCAAGGGACTGATTCCCATGTGACCAGCGCGGACAGGACAAGTGTGGATCTTTGCGCAACCTGTGGACGCGATAAATCCACCGCTGTGAGAGAAACACAGCTGAATTATGTGAGCCTCCGGAAGTCTCCACCTGTCGCCCTGAAACTAAAACTCAAAAAATTAAAGCTGGGGTACCTACATTTCCCGTGCATTCATAATACATGTTGCTCCTCTCCCTCCTTGACCTGCTCCTCTCCCTCCTTGACCTGCTCCTCTCCCTTCTTGACCTGCTCCTCTCCCTTCTTGGCCTGCTCCTCTTTGACCTGCTGCTCTCTCTCCACTGACACAAACTCCTCTTCTTCTGCCTTGATCATCCATTTTCGTTTGGAACCTGCACTGACTTATAAAGTTGTGGTCACATCATTTGCAACAGGAGTTTCAGCTCTGAGTGGTTGTGTTTACTGAATGACACCAGGTTTGTTCATTGTGTTCAAGTTTTGCTGACAGTGGGAGATTTTCATCACATGAGCCTCACAATGATTATAGGAGCAGAGATACATGCAAAAAGTGTTTTAGCAAAGGAAAAATGTGTTTTAGCAAAGGAAATTTTTGTTTTAACAAAAGGAAAAATTGTTTTAGCAAAAGAAAAGTGTGTTTAGAGTTTTGAGAAAAAGGGCATGTGTTTTGTGAACAGTGTCTACAGAAGAATTGTGTTTATGGTTGTGAGAAGTGGGGGGAAGTTTTAATAAATGTGTTTAGGCAATTGGTCATTTGGTTTAGATTACTGGGTTTTGTGTTGTAGCAATAGAGAAAAACTGTATTACTACATACAAGTTGTATTATAATCCGTAATTTAATTGAAAACTTGAGGTATTTTATTCAGCTGTGTAAGAATTACAAGCAGTGAAAAGTGCTGAGTAGAGTCTGAGCGGGCCGCTCGTTCTCCTCCGCTCACAGAACGAGCAGCGAACAGCCTGCGTCATCTAGCCCCTACAGCGCTGCTAAAAACTAGGGCTTCGGCTTCGAAATTCAAATATAATTCTAAAATAAATAAAGAAGATTGAATATATATATATATATATAAATATATATATATATATATATATATATATATATAAACAAATATTAGACAGCCCTTACAATTAGAAATGTATTCAATAACTGCAAATAAAATAATTAGCTCCCAAAGGTTTCACTGGGACGTGCTAGGCAGGTAACAGCTAAGTTAGCTAGCTCCCGGGAACTACATGTTAATGGTTACTTCCGGGTTTTTCGCGATCGCTTTTTGTCACATTAAAATAGTAATTTGGTCATGAAAACGATAACAAGAAATTCTGAAAAAGTCCGTGCATGTGTGTTAAGGATGTATATGTATACTATATTGTCCGATTAACATTTAATGGTGTTGATTGATAGATATGTAGTTGTTTATTGAGCGTGGCTAGCTCGGCTAGCTCCGCTAGCTTCTCTCGTTGTACTTGCGGAGTAATGGCAGTATTTTAAACACCTGAATTACAAACAGAGATTGCATTGTCAAAGGGCAGCGGTCATTATTGATTTGAGAGTTCTGTTATCAAGAAAAAATTATCGGTAGAATTGGAGTGTTCTACTGCTGCTGTGAGGAGCTGTATAATAAATTATAATTAAATACTCAAATATATTCTAATGTTTTAATGAATAAATTTGGATGCGAAACTAGCAGTATTCTTTTACCTATATTTTGTGTTAGCAGTGCGTTTACAAGAAGTTGTGATAATGCTAATGTTAGCAT